CAAAGAAAGTTACAGTGAAACGCTCCCTCTGCTTCGCACACGAACCTGTTCTGTAAACTATCAAACATCGCTCCCAGCCAATGTGGATAATCACTACAAGACATGGCATTGCCATTGTGTTTGCATTTTGCTTTACAGAGGATCAGAACAGAGCTTTCATGATCTAACTTGGCTGTGAAATATATCAGATGAATATAGATTTAATAAATAGCAGAGGTTCCCTTGAGCCCACAGAGGGCTACGTGATGGTTGCTGCACAAATATGATGATTCTGAGTTGATTTTATTGATAGAATGAATGTAAGAGCGCTCAAAAACTACACTGTAAAAAAAGTATATATTTTAACCATTTTTACTATGATTTTTTTGGAACAGTTTGCTGCTCTATTAATAGTTTTTCACTATGCTGAATATATCTTCCAACAACTTGCTCCTCTGTGTACTGTTTTCAAGCCATGCTGCATTTATTTTATTGATCCAACTTTTTATTTATTTATTTATTTATTTATTTTTCATTTTAAGAAATCATGCCTTTCAAACCCACTTTCATTGGGTTTTGGGGTTCAGAGGGTTAATGATCTTTTTCTCTTAAAAATTTTGGAAACTCTGTGAGGGAAGCTGTTTGTAGCTTTGTGCATGTTATTGGTCGTTTCACTCTGTTTAATCTATCATACATTTAAAGGAAGTTTGGAGTTAATGCCAACAGTGATGGCTTCTTGTTGTGCTGGGGAATTTGTAGGTTTTTATAGGACCTTGGACAAACACTTTATCTTTGGAGAAAATAATTTTGATGAAATATCTTGATTTTAATCTTTGATTTTATTAATTTTACTTGTGAAACCATATACCACACATGATACATTCAATGACAGTATGAAACATGAAAATCTGACAATTCTTTGTTTTATATTTATTTGACACCTTCAACATGGACACAGATATTGGAGATGTTGCTGTCGGGATTTGGTCAATGTCAGTTTTTCTGTACTGTGGGTCCCACAAAGGAAATCAGCCCTATTGACCTGTGGTGGGTGTTTCTTCCTGCTCAGCTCAATTTTAAGCTACAAACTTGCTCATAATTGGTGTTCGTGCTGCAGCTCTGGTATGTCACCACACCAGCTCTGTGTGGGGCCTCATGTGTGCCCACCACCACCTGAGCTTAACCTCACCTCTCAGGGTTGAACCCGCTCTCGTCACGTCCCCCTCCAATGAGTCTGCGGTGGTCCTTCGTGGCGGCGTAGAACAGCTCCCCTCTTCACTGAAACACGTCTCTTGTTTCCTCTTAACTGGTTCCAGCAGCGCAGCAGTGTTTGGCATCCAGTTGGTAATGATTTAAACAAGCTTGGGGCCTCCCTTCTCCTCTCCGTTCTCACACCGGTCTTTTCTTCTTATTCCTGTTCGGCTAATCGTCATCACAACCAGGCTGGATTGGAGGGAGAACGACTATTTTCAATTTTGTGTTCTCATTTTTTTCTTTTTTTCCCCAAAAAACGCAGCTCATTACTTAAAGCACAAGATGCTTCTCAGGCTTGTGGGTGGTCCTTTGGTCACCTTGGAATCAGATTCATTATATAATATTAGAATGATACATTATAGTTATAATTGCGCTATGATACAACAGAAGTGAGTGTGCACTATCACTTAAATATTATATGATTCCAAATTGTATTGCCTTACAACAATTAGTTCCCTTCTCCTACTACTACTTCTACATGTTTCTTTAAATATCTCAAATGTGTTCCATTGGATTGAAGTCAGGGGACATTTGACCAGGTCGTCATTTCCACTTTGCTCTTAATGAACTCTTGTATTTGTGTTACTTTATGCGTTGGACGGTTATCATGATAGAATATTCCTCTTCTGCCAAGTTTCTGCAGACTGGGAGTCACCTGGTCCACCACTATTTTGGTTTCTCCACAGGCATTCATGGTGTCGTGTATTAACATCACCTCCCCAACACTTATCAGCCAGATATCATCACACTCACACCTCTGTACTTCACTGTCAGGACTGTACATTCACTGTGGTAGTCCTGGTCAGGTTCACACCAAACATGGTGGACCCCATCTGAGCCAAACAAATGTATCTTGGTCTCATATACCAAAAAATGTGCTCACACAAAATGACCAAAGAGAGACACAAAACAACCATTGACAGAAAATTACAACATAGAGCCAGAAAATGACCACAATTACCCCTTTTTTACCAAACCGGTTCCAGTGCTAGTTTGGAGCTAGTGCCTGACTTAGCACCAGTTCTTTGTCTTTCCACCGCCTAAGCACCGACTCCAGGCTCTCAAAACTGGTGCTAAGCAAAGACCAAGTCTTTGCTGGGCCAGAGCTAAGAACAGAGTACGCCAGGGACTGGGGGCGGAGTTATCATGACCACCAAAACCGATGAATAGGACACACAAGCGGTGATTTGTGTTGTTTTTTGCCAGGACGTCTCTGGTTCGATCACAGATGTGTTGGAATGAGTCCCGGGACACATAGAAGTTTTGCACAAACTGTTGCACCCTGAAATCCGGTACAACTGTGTCCCACCAGTAGCACCACAGTGGTGGAAAACAGTACTTTTATAACTTTGGTGTGCTGCGGTATTTACACTCAGAAATGTGGTCTTCTCGTGAAAAACGGAGCGCACCTACGTGCACTGTTTATTCCGCTCATAGAAAAGACCGCATGAGAAAAAATCACTCGGTTTCATCTTGAACAAATCTGACATTAGAACGCCCTAGTTTACGCTTTTTAAAGTCATTTTTGGGCGCACACCGGTCTGAGCACGGCACTAACACCTGGTTCTTCTTGATGGAAAAGGGATAAGTGAGACGCAAATTGACCACAGAGTGACAGAAAATGACCTCAACGAGATGCATGATATGACTTTAAGTGATTTGATATTCAAATGGTATTACACAGGGGTGCATTTATTAGTGTTGTATGCTGTAATTGACATAAGCCATTTTGCATTTGTTTGAAATAAAGAGAAGTGTCTATTGAAGGCAGTCAAGCTTGCTGTTTTGCTCTGTTCCCAGTCTTTTTGCTAAGCTAAGGGCTGATACACTTGAGCGTGGTATCAGCCTTCTCACTTCTAGCTTTTGGCAGTAAATTGTATTTCCCATCAAGCCAACCTATTCTTTAATTTGAGATTTCCTTTAATAAAAACTGAGCTTTTGAAGAGAAGTTTATACTCATCAAGATGAAGAAGACTTGAGCCTCTGAGGATAAAGCGCTGGTCATCCGTTGGCCTACATTTGTGTTTTCCTTCTCAATTTCTCTCCCTTTGTCCCGACTTGCCCTCCTTTCTCTGCTACCCACTGTGCATCATTGATCCTTCCATCGTCCCCTCTGTCTCTACTCTTAAACATCACATGGTGTCACCAGGGTTTGTGGAGGGTTAAAAAAGTGTATTTTTAAGACTGTTTAATATCACATAGAACCGTGTTTGTTTTGTCATTATTCAGGATAGGACTTAAACGTAAAAATCTGAAAATAGTTAATATTGACAGGATTTTAATTTACAGAACTTCCCAGCTATGTTTAACAAACATTCCTCTTGACATAAATGATCGATTAACATGACCTGGACCTGTGGTCAGTGGCCTGAGGAGTCTGGTGGTACATTTCTTTTTTGAAAAAGTCATAGAGCTCAGGTAAAAGACACACAACTATTCCCAAGATTCCAAAAAATGAGGCAAAATGACCACAAAGAGACAGAAAACAACATAAAGAGACACACATTGACCCCAAAGCAATGCAAAATGATGGAAAAGATGCAACATAATTGATTTAAAAAAACAAAAAAAAACAAAACCACTATACAGAGATGCTAAACAACCCCAAAATGGCACAAAACTACCACTAAGAGAAGCAAAACAACTACATAGGGTTGCAAAAAAATTCGAGACACAAGACAGCTACAGAGATGCAGATCAGTTTCAATGATGCAAAACTACAAACAGGTAGACACAAAATGATCACAAAGGGAGGCAATACGACCCCAAACATACATATACTGACTATGAAGCAATGCATAACAAAACATGCAAAAGATTGAAAATGAAAAACTTGGAGTAAGCAGGCTGAAGAATGGCTGACTCAGGAGCCAAAGCAGGCAGGAGGTTAGCTGAGAGGAAAAGCGACTACACAGAGATGCAAAATGAAAGAAAAAGACAAAACACAGCCTCAAAGACACACAATGACCACACAGGGATACAAAATGACTACAAAGACACGCAAAACGAGAGAAAATGCAACACGACTAAAAAATGACCCTGAAGAGATGCAAAACAACTACAAAGACAACACACAACCACAAACACTCAATAATGACCACTAAAAGACAGAAAACGACCGCAAAAAGACATAAAGCACACAAACCAACACAAAACGATTACAAAGAGATGAAAGACAGCTAAAAGAATATGCAGAACGGCTGCAAAGAGATCCACAACTCCAGACTCAAAATGATCATGCATGCAAAATGACCACAAAGAGACGCAACACGACCATAAAGAGACACAACACAACCACAAAGAGACATAAAACAACCACAAAGAGACATAAAACAACCACAAAGAGAAACCAAGTGACCACAGTGAGACGTGTGCAGATTCTCTGTGCTTTAAGCTCCAACAGAGCTGAGCCAGCTGGAGAACATGAGCCTCCACGTGGTAACACAAACACACATACAGACACACACACACGGGTCGTCAGCGCTTGTATTTGATGTAGACCACTTAAGGTGGGGGAGCTGCTTCACCACAATTATACACACACACAAACACACACCTACGCAGACACACACAGGTATAAAAGCTGCCCATGTGTTTCTTGTCTTGCTCCTTATGGGCCACATGATACACTTCCCGTCTCTGCAGGAAAACTGTGCTGTAAACTGGCCTCATTAGCCCACTGACCTGCTCTCCCTCTCTTTCTGTGTGTGTCTGTGTGTGTGTGTGTGTATGTATGTGTGTTTGTCTGTGTGCGCGTTGTTGCACAGCAGCGACTCTGCAGGATCCAGTAAGCTGCAGACTCCCCAGCGCTCTGCAGATGCTGCGGCAGCAAGTTCAGCAGTCGAGGACTTGTTTGAGGACTTCTGACTGCAGACCGGTGCCACATCCCTGTACAGACACATAAACACAACTACAGCGCTGAGTTATGAAGACAGGTCATATTTTAGACAGATTGAATGGACTGGGCGTTTTGCATTACAGTATTTATATAGAGCAGTAAAAATAATGACAGGATATGACAGGATGGGTGAAAATGGGGTTGTCTGCTATTGATTATTAGTAATCTAGGACACGAATAACAAATATATGTTAAATTAGAACAGACAAAACAAACAGCATCCCTTCTACATTTTAGAGAAATTTTAAACTGATATGATAGTTAATGAACGAATGGCCAAAGTTGTTTTTTTTTTTTTTTAAAGCTGTAAAATGAATAAACAAAAATCTGTATGTATTTTAAACACTGGAAATGTTTTGCATTTGTTGCCTCGTGTATAGATTTCTATATGCAGTGTTTTAAATTTTGTCATTTTAATATTTTTGCTAATAAACTGCAAAACTCAGAGCAAAGTGATCTCAGTTTGGACAGTTCAGAGAGAATTATTAAAGGCAAGCCTTCACAGTCCTCTTAAAATATGATATATTAGTTTTGTTTTCCACTTTCACTGAGTGAGATGTTTTAACCACCATCTTCATCTTCTCCATCATATTTCCATTTATGTTGTGTGAATAACTTAATTTCTATCTTCAGTGAGAGATGAGTGCCACCCTGTTGTATTTGCCTTTATAGATAATTTTTCACTTCCAGCATTGTTATCATGTTATATTTTTAGGTAAATTCATTTTTGCTCATGTCTCACATTTGAAGTGGATTCTCAGTAAGGGCGGCGTTTTGTTTTGTTTTGTTTTTTTTAAATCCTGTACAAGGAGATTCTCCATCATTCACACATTTATAATTCATCAGTATAATAGTTTGTATTTTTACCTGATCACAGCCGACCTCTGTTTGCTCCTGAGCCTGTTCATCACCTTTGGTTTAGGTTTTAGTCTAGTTGTCTGCATTTTGGTCCTTTCCTCACCAATCTGTAAACTAACAGAATAAACTAGCCAATATGGACTCAGCAGACACCCTGATGCACGATTAACTTTATTTTAATAACACTCATATTTGCCTGTATAGGACGTGGAGTAGAACCCCTTGTTAGGGTTATAGGGCGATCTGAAGCCTTGGCTGAGGAGCTCTTTGCTATGGTGAATCAGGGATTTTTTAGATACCTCTGTTTCCCAGCCCTCCTGTCTAACTTCCTGCCTGCTTTCGATCCTGAGTCAGCCAGTCTTCGGCCTGCTACCCCCAACCTGTCCCAGTTCCTGAGCCAGCTTCCTGTTTGCTAGTGTCTAGCCAGTTCACCAGTCAGGTAGTATGCTGCCCAAACCTACCCTGCACCCACCTTCTGCAAAGGCCTCCAGAAGGAAGCATGGCTCCCGCCAACAATGTCCCTCACCGTTCACCGCTCTCCAGCACCCTGACCATGGCTATGGAGGTCTCTGCCCCGCTGTCAAGCAACTTAGAGATCCCGATCCTGCAGCCCTGCACCCTGGCTGACGTCTCACCTGGTCCCAGTTGACCAGGTTTGTTCTGTGTTCTCTACGTTTCCCTTAAGCCAGGTAACACCCACTGCCACTGTCTGTCTGTTTCTGTATCTTAGTGGGCCACCGTCTCTCGTTCAGGAGGGTGCACCTGGGTCAGCCTGAAGCCCAGGTCCCTACCATGCACAGCTGACAAAAAGACTGTTCCAGAGTCAGCTACAGCTGGCTGTTTCACTGTTTCTAAGTCAGCTATGTTTGTCCTCATCATTTCATCGTCATTCAGCTACAGAAAAAAAACACTGTGGTTTGTATTTCTTTAAACCACAGTCATATTGGGCAGTGTCAAACTCAGGATGCACCGACCGTGTCCCTGCAAAATCGTGATGGGAGAATTGTTTTGGTGGAACTTTTTCATGCAGCGAGGTGAGCGCTGTCACTAAAGTAGATAATTTTCCAAAAGAACCAAGCAAGCCTACCTTTTTGCACGATCAAAATCCTCTGCAAAGTTGCCATTTTTACTGTGTAGGTTGCTGCTCGGAGTTTGTTGTTTTCTGCAGCGAAGAGGATTTTGAAACCAGCAACACACAGATAATGGCAGGAGAGAAAAAAGCCACGTGAAAGGAGCAATCAGTGACATCTGCTAAGTCAGATTAGTGTGACATAAACTTTGTCACTCTCAAAGTGCACAAGAGTCTGTGCGGATCCCTTTTTTTTTTTTAACTTCCAGGTACAGCTCCCAATATGTGTCAACTACACTACCAGGGAAATAGTGCACGGAAATCCAAGTGGGTTCTTGCAGACTATACAGTGGTATTATAGCTATAACGCTGTCAATGAGCGCATTTGCCAGAGAGTATAAACAAGTCTTTACACTGCCGCCACATCATGAAATATTGTATAGGGATGGCACCTTTTCACATCTAGATGGATTTATGGCCACTCTGCGTGACCTGAGCTGGCATCTGGAGGAAAAAAGGCTTCTGGAGGAGCTCAGTGTTTGGAAGCACTGGCGTGTTCTTCACGGAAGTTTTTTATCAAGTGGTATAAATGCAGCACTTTCATGGGCAACAGTTTGATTTGACAGGTGATATAGCTGTGCAGCACATCATCATTTTCATTTGCCAAGTTTGTCTTCTTCCTCACATCCTCGCTTGTAGGGGCTATGAGGTGATGAGGTGACGCAAGTGACAAAAGCAAGGAGGCATAATGAATAGCAAGATAGCTCTAACCTAAATATACAATTATATACTACAAACATGTATACAATAGAATTAGTCAAACTTTAGTAAAATTTTCCATTTCTTGCTTTAGAAAGGGCATTTTATGAGATATTTCACAAATCTGCCAACTAAATCTTTACCAAACAATTTCTTCACCAATATGTTGGTAGAGGTGTGTAATAACATAAACAATAAAACCCTGAAAAAATATGCTCAAGTTAGGGTACCTTGAGAACATGTTGTATCAAATTTGAAACCGAAATACAACAATTATCATTTTTAATATTTTTGCTATAATGACAATAATGATGATCATTTATTGGAACCCTAACTTCGGCAGGTTTTTTCAGGGTTTCCCACAGAGTTGAACTTCAACATTTTAAAACATGTTATTACACACCTTTACAAACATGTTGGTGAAGAAACTGTTTGGTAACGAGTTGGTTAGTTGGCAGATATTCATATGTTTCCCTTACTAATTGTGAGGATTGCTGCTTTCCTTCGTAGTATACAGTCAGGTCTGTAAGTATTTGGACAGTGATAAAGATTTTGTAAATATGCCTTTACACCCCAAGCCAGTGGATTAAAAACGAGGAAATGAAATTGTGACTGAAGAACAGACTTTCATCTTTAACTCAAGGGGTTCAATCAAAATATTGCCAAGTTGCATTATGGGAAATGTACAATGTAAAAACCAAATCTGGAAAAAAAAACAAAAAAAACGAGAAGAACTGCAATAAATGTTTGAATACTGTGATGTTCAAAAATGGTAAAAACTCGTGAAAATAGCAGCAAATATGTGAAATGCTTTGACACAGAGTTGTTTTTCTGTGATTTTTTTCAATATTTCCTGTTGACAAAAAAAGAAAAGATCTTAGTTACAGTGTAATTTACCATTTTAAAAATATACATATTTTTTCGACATCAGGGCAAATATCTATAAAATAATAAGATTTTTACTGATTTATGTACAGAAAAAATAGTGTAATGTTTCGGTCAAACACTGTGAAAGGAGAAATGACCATTTATAAAAATCCAGATTTTGATTACAGCTTTGGCCTTTTACATTAATGTGGGAATTAATATGTTTTCCTGTTAACTTAATAGTCATCTGTAATTTAACCAAAAAGGGAAAATCTGTAAAATAATTGTTAAAAAAAAAAGTTTAAAAAAATTAAAGATTAAAATTAAAAATACAAATAAAAATAAAAATTCACAGTGATCAGCTTTTCCACTGAAAACCTGTAATATTCCAACTTCTGCTTCTCACAGTTCCATCCTTCTTTTATCCATCCATCCCTCACCACACTGCTTTAACTTCACAGCAGTGCTATAAGCCAGCGGAGCGTCCCTTTAATGTCTCCCCCCTCTCTCTCCCTCTCTCCCACTCAGGCTTTCCCCACTCTCCCTCCCTCCACCTCCTTCACTACATGCATCTTTTGGCCTTCCTTCCCTCCCTCCCTCCCTCTCCGTGCACTGGGCGGTGTATGATCGTCCCTGTGCGCTCCTCCTCTTCCTAATATGCGGATAATAGCGGGTGTAAAGTGGATTTGAACTTGCAGCCAGAGCTGAAAGCTGGAGGAAGACATCTGTTTGAGAGGAACCGCACAAGTACGCGCATCCAGACCCCGACGTCGGACCTGCGGGAGTTTAGTTTGGAAAGTTTTAAGTGACACAGAGCAAGTGGATTTTTGGACTTTTTACGCATTTACAAGGTATGAAATTAATTTTTCTAACTTTCATTCTTGAACAGACTCGACTACTTGTCGGTTACATGTGGTAAGATAATGTTCAGTTGGTGCGTAATTATTCGCCGCACATTTCTGCGCTCTGCAGCGGAGGAGCGGCAGCTTTTGGGTGGCCAGGAATGTTCCCACACTGATAAATCACAGTGATTTGAGAGTCATTGATAAAAGTGACTCTCGGGACCATTTAGGTGCGTTTACATCCACTGATCACTGGATAAGACTTATCACACAGCTGTTACCACACATCTGCTCTGCTCTGCGTTTCATGACTCTGCGCTTCACTGGCATCGATGGAGGATGGACAATTAACAGCATTAAAACTGCATTTTCAGTGCTGGAACATCCAATAATATAAAGAAAGTACAGCAAAATCACAACTAATGCCAGGCAGTGTCTAAATATTGTCCTTGTTTACCATGAGGTGACTTTCTACTTTAAAACACTTCAGTAAAAGTTGGTCATTTGGAGAGTAAACATAGTTTAGGTCGTAGTGATTCCAAAATGTTAGCAACTTCACTTTCTTATAAAAGATTAAAAAAAAAAAAACAACAAAAAAAAAAACATTATTTAAAAAAATAAAATGACAGAAAATGGCACATTTCAACCTCAGCAATATCTGATTTTGCCACTGCATGACTTTAAAATACCACAGTTGAAGACAGCACATAAGTAAAAGGAAGGTTGGAAGCAGTAGTGCTGTATGAATATTATAATAGGAATGTACTGGTGGAAGAAGCACTTTCAGTTGTGATTAACAGTGAAACATTCAGCCAATCAGTGGGAGAATGATCTGCAACTACCTGCAGATTGATCAACTGTTCTATTTTTCAAGCAATAATGTAAAACCTCTGCTGCTTTCAGCTTGTCCACTGCAGCTGAGGGGATGTAACTGAGTAGATTTACTCAATTTATTGTAATTGTACATGTACTTGTTTTCTTAGTTTCTTTCTTTCTTTTCATTTTGCATTTTATGCTGCTGTACAGATCCTTCTACTCCACTACAGTTATTTGTCAGCTTTAGTGACTTTAGAGGTAAAATTTGGTGCTTTGTAACAACCCCAACTATCCAACAGTATTTACAGGTTACATCTTACATCATTTGATCAGCAACTGTTATCATTTAAGTCAAAAGATTGAAAATAACATCCAAAATTACATTTTCTACCTTTTAATATGTGAAGATTTGCTGCTTTTGTTTTAAATATATGATTTTCTTTAGATGTTAAGAGAAAGCTATTGGCTAGCCGTCGCGCAGGCTAAACCCGAAGCTAATTTGAATGAATTTTTTAACTTCATTTTTGTATGTAAATCAGAAAAAACTGCCTCCAGATTTAAAACTGTGAAGATTTGCTGCTTTTGTTCGATATCAAAAATTGATAAAGAAATTTCAAGTGAAGACTAGTTGCTAATATATTGCTGTTGCTGGCAATAGCACAGGCTAAAGCTAACTTAAGGTATTGTTTTTTTTTTGTCCTTGTTGCAACATGTAAATGAACAATAAAATAACAAAAAATTCTCTAGCTTTAAAATTATGAAGATTTGCTATCATTTTTTAAAACAGTTTCAATAACTTTTAATATTAAGCTTCCCAGGCGCTAGTATGTAGTAATATTTTAACAATTTGAGGTGAAACTAAGTGCTAAGCTGGCTTCAGCTAACGTTAGCATAAGCTAGAGCTAATTTAAAAAGTGACTGGTTTTCTTCTGGTTGGTATCTCTCAGTAAAAAAAAAAAAGCATTTTAATTACGTTTTTTTTTTTTTATCCACATGAGACAGCAGCGGACTTATTTCATTACAAAGAAGAAAATTAACATTTAAACTCCTGCTAAAGGTAGCTAGCTTAGCACATCTCTGTCGTTGCTATTGCATTATTTGACTATAGTTGGGTGGGTAAATTGTATTTAAATCTCATACTAAAATGTATTAACTTATTGGAGTTTTTAGATTTTTTAGAATTTTTATAAGCTATGGGCTGTAAATAATCAAACTAAAGTTTATTTTCTGAAACAAAATGTATGACAAAGCTGCAGTTTGTTGGTTGATACAGCAGAAGATTATCCAAAGGCGGAGTGCACCGTCAGCAATTTTTAGCTGATGTGTGGTTTCTATGACAACTATTTAATGGTGTGAAATAATCATCATACAAATACATCACATTAAAGCTTTACAACTTTTCTCTCTATATTACAGTTTAGATTTTCATTCCTGCTTCTGTCGTTGCTGCTCTGTTACTCTGCTGTTTATAGCTAGTAATCCATTACAGCATTAAGGTACATCAACATGTTAAAACACAGAGTAAAACTTTTTCTTTAACCCTTTTGTGAGGTTTGTCTCTGATTTTCAGTGTCTTTGTGTTTTCAGACTGTGTCAAGATGATTGGACACACCCTCACACACCTGCTCTGGTTTGTGTGTCTGTGTTCGGCTCAACCAGGTGAGTCGAGGCCAGCGGGAATGATGTGATTTCCCCTTAAATCCAAACTCTGATGTAATAACAAGAGTGCCAGACTTAAAGGTCCAAGTCTGACAGAGTGGAAAGTGCCTTTTACTCCAGTTCCTCACATGTGCAGTTTCTTCCATCTTTTTGCAGCAGCTAGAAGCTCCCACATGAGCTCACTTGTATTGTAGCAGCATTCCCTCATTATCAGAGTATCAGGGGAATACAGATATTACAGCTGGATGGGACTGCTGATGGTTTGTTCTTATGTTTTGTGGGCTCGACAATAAAATATGACATTAGATCTCTCAGACGGCAGCAACCAGGTCCAGATTTAGTGGTGCCATGGTTTTCTGACGTAATGTAAAAGAAGGAATGCATGTAATGCTCCTTTACTTTTGGATATGAGTGTATGGATGATGAATGAGGCTGGAGACAGACTCTGTAGCCATGTGAAGTAGTCACGTTGAGCTTTCTGTCTTGGGAGGACGGTGCTCTTATGTCACCAAACGCTCTAGTGAAGAGGAGCTGCTGCACAGATGATGCAGAAATCTGTTGTGCAGTTTTAAAGTTTACTGTTTATAGTTTGTTGAAACGATTGGAAAGCTGCTAACTGCAGAACATTGAACTCACATGACTGATCGGCTGTTTTTTTCATGGTCTTTGTTTCTGCACAGCTTGAAACATGGTGTCACCAGCAGGCATCAAAGAATAAATAGAACCTTCCTTATTGTAAACTATTCCTGAAAACGTCTCTCCATTTTTCTTGTGTAGATGGCTAAAGCTTTTGGCTTCTTCCTCTTCCTCTTAGAGGGTTGTAGTGATTGTCAAACAGCTGGTTTTGTCTGTGGCTTCTTCTACTCCGTCTATGAAAGCCGTGTAGCCCACAGCGCCACCTTCTGATGACGCAAAGCAGTCAAGTTTATTTGCTTTGGGGCCAAACCTAACTCACATTTTCTTTCAATACTAAAAACACTGTTCGAAAGTTTGCTTCAGTGTCACCTTACCGTTACATGGAAACATAACTGCTGAATCAAATCAAGACCTTGAAGTGTGTTTGATGCTGGACAAGATCATTTGGCTTTGATAGCCACAAAAAAGATTTAATCATGAATGAAAAGATGCACATTATGGGACCTTTAATGTTTACCAACTCTGTTAGCAGATATTTTGGCTAAATGATCAAATTTCAGCAGACTATTTCCTGTTTCCAGCGCCTCCACGTACCACGATGAAGATGGAGAAGAGCTCTCCTGCAGCCGGCTCTCTGGCTGGCAGGGTGGTGCTGCCGTGTCACTTCTCCATCATGCCAGCTTCTCCCACCACGTCCACGCTCCCTCCCACGTCTGCACCTCGTCCCAGCTCTAGTCCCGATGAGCAGCTCCGGATCAAGTGGGTGAAGCTTGATGGGCCGGGGGAGAAGGTGGTGCTGGTGGCTCAGGGGGCGGTGGTGAAGGTGGGGCAGGAGTTCCGTAGCAGGGTGTCGGTGCCCAGCCACCCGCTGTCGGTCGGGGACGCCTCGCTGATGATTGTGCGGCTCAGGGCCAGTGACGCCGGCCTGTACCGCTGCGAGGTGATGCACGGGATGGAGGACACTCAGGACACCGTCAGCCTCAACGTCACCGGTTAGCAAAACACACACACACCACATGCACTTACACACTTATTTACTAAAATGTTTATGTAGTTGTTGCGCATCTTTTTGTCCACATTTTGCACCTTTTTGTGGTCATCTTGCATGTTTTTGTGGTGGTTTCGCATTAGTGTGGTAGTTTGGCATCTTTTTGTGATTATTTTGTGTTTTTGTGGTAACATTGTGTCTTTGGGTGTCATTTTACATTTCTTTGTAGTTACTGTTTTGATATAAGTTTTGTCTGCTGGGGGTCATTTTGCATTTTTTGCGCTAATTTTGTGTCATAATGTGAAAGTTTTGCATCTTTTTGTGGAAGTTTTATTTGTTTATGTCGTCATTTTATATCATTTTGTGATACTTTTTTGTCTATGTGCCTGTTTTCTAACTTTTTTGTTGTAATTTTCACATCTTTGTGTGGTCGTTTAACATCTTTTTGAGGCTCTTTTGTGTCTTTCATGGTAATTTTGAATGTTTATTGCAATTACTTTTGCATCTTTTATAGTAGTTTTGTATGTTCAGGGAGTAATTAAGCCCTTTTTGTGGTAGCTCTACAGCTTTTTTTGGTCATTTTGTAACTTTATGTAGTAGTTTTACGTCTTTCTTCTGTAGTTTTGCATCCTTCTGTGGTAGTTTAGTATCGCTTCGTGGTTAATGTAGATCTTTATGTGGTAGTTTTTGCATCATCATCAGCAGAGAGAGCAGTGGGCGGGTCCAAACCTTTTACAGTCACATTAACAGTGTGTACCAGGAGTCTACAAACTCCATCAGTGACTGCATCCAGATGTGTTTAGCTGGCAGACACTTCAAAGCTGAAGGTGCCGCCAAAAGTATTAAGTCAAGCTGTTTTCTCTAAAGTCGCTTCCTCTCAGAAGTCTGTTGTGGTCGTTGTTACTGTCTGTTTTTTAATTCTTCTTCTGGAAGTTTCTCCGAGCTCCACTAAAATCTGAGTTGAAGTCCAACAGTAATTTTCACCAGGGTGACGAGGAAACCTGAAGCACAAACACAGAGACATCGTCTATCCTGTAGTTCAACTTCTGACATGAAATATATTTCCGTGCTCATACATTCTGACTTTTTGAGAGGAAATGAGTTTCTAAGCAGGTAGCTGGGTCATTCTAATTAAAAATCAACCAAAGCTGAAAACAGTTCCCACCTGACCCCTGCTGCGTTTTATTTCACGTTCTTTCGCTTTATTGGTACCGGAAGTCTCTTAGTATTTACTGCCACCTTTAAAATGTATTTATACGTGTTTATACAGAGCTTTGCAGACACACTGCACTTTATTGTGAATGTTGTTGAAAATTCCTGACATTAGCAGCATCTTTGCCGACAGACACTCAGCTCCTGGCCTGTGGTTGCATCTGAACATTAGCGTAGCATTTTCAGCACGAGTCTCAGGCAGCTAGCTAAATCCTACAGTCCCCCAACACACACAGCGTGATGCTGCAAAGTTCATCAACATGACTGCAACAATTAACAAACACCAGGGAGGTGCACTTGTTTTATGAATCCTTACAGACGGTCAGCAAACACACCTGTAACTCCATCTCATTAAACAGTGACAGGCGCCACCTGGTGGAGGAACCAGGTACTAGAGCAAATCTGCAATACATTTCCTGACATGCAGGTCCCTCATTTTCTGCTCGAAAGGTTCAAATGTTTTTAATAAGTTAAGAATATATAAACTTAAAAATCAATATTTATCAATATATAAACATCAAAATCAACAATGACAAAATCTATAAACAGAATAACAGCTAGATAATAATAAATAACTAAAACTGGCTGGGATAATAAAAAGAAACCGCGTTAAAGTCTGCCGAAGAGTCCTGTGTTTCTGTGCTAAGATATACTGAATAATAATGTTTTTAAATTAGATATGCACAATATAACAATTAACAACTTTGTTCAGCTTATTATCATGGCGTTGTTACAAAAATTTGCAAAGCAGATATTCACTATTGAGCAGCTGGAAGTGGACATTTTTGGGCTTTTGACCAAAAGATGTAAACAATTGTCATATTCATTTTTAGTTGTTTGACTAATTAGAGAATCTACTAACTGTCTTTGCTCCAGTTCAGTATCGCAGGATAAGATAAAAATGCACAGTAGCCTCACTTTCTCCTATATGAAAGTCTGTAGAGAAACTAAAGATTTGTGGGGTCTGTCGATCACCTCGCCTCTCCTCTCTCCCAGACATTTCCACAGATTCCACATTAATCCTGAACAGCACTCTTTGTTGAGCAGCTCCACACAAAGACTCTCCCTATGAGTGACACACAACTCTCCATTTAACAGCTCAGACATCCTTTCACGTCGTCCTGCAGCTCTGCCAGGATATCCTTGCAGATGAGACATGATCCAGCTCCAAAAAAACAGACCTAATGATACAAGACAACAGCGACGTATAGTCTGAGGATGACAGCTGAAATTATTCACCGGCTTCTGTTTCTCTATACTGTCATGTATCTGTGCAGCGATCCAGTTTCTGTCAGCAGAGGATCTATGCTGTAATCTGAAGTCATTTTAAATCAGTCACTGAAATGCAACGTCAACATTAGACACTCCGCCTGATGAAATGTGTTTTCCTTTGTAGTCTCAATCTTAATGTTGGAAGAACTGTAAGAGCTCAGAGTGCTGAATCAGCACCTCTGTTTTCTGAGAATCAGCTGAAGACGTCAGTATTTCCTGGCTGTTTAATGAATTTTATTTTTTTTCCCATTTAGGTATGTTGTTGCACATTTGAGTAGTTTTCTGATATTTTCTTAACACTTTCTGATCTTTCGTGTTTTTTCCCCCCATAGTATTTATATTTTTGACTATTTTATTAACAGGTTTGACATTTTACTGATATTTTATTAATATTTTTTGGAAATTTTATTTTTCAATCTTTTGTTTCTGTTTTAGGTAGAATAGGTTTGGGAAAATGTCTGAAATTCTATTTTTATTTATCAAAAAATAACATTTCTGCCTCTTTTTTCAAAAGAATTTTCTTATTAGTATTTTATTGAAATTGAAATTATATGAAAGATTGTCACAGATATTTTGTTATTATTTAATTGATAACATTTTCTTAATTTTTTTTCGTCTTGTTTACATTTTTCACACACTTCATTTTGGTAATGTTTTAAGACATTTTGAAATGTTTTGAGGATTTTTTTCTTCATTTTGTTACATTTTATTACTATCTTTTATACATTCTCTGTTTATAAAATATATCGATTCTAAATAATATAATATATGTGTATTCATATTTTTTTCAGACACTTACATTTTGTTTTGCAGACATTTTATTTATTTTTGCAGAAGTTGCATTCATTTTTTGGCAGACATGTAACACTTTCAGACATTTTAAATATATTTTACCTTTATTTTATTTATATTCATTAGTTTTTTTTATTTTACTTCTGCTTCTTGGCTCATGTTCAGGTTGGGGCTGCAGTTTATCAGCATTAAGTCGACTTCGTTATTGTTAATGTGATTCATTAGCTACAAATATAGTGATATTTGTGACATCTTGCTAGCAAGCAGCTGATGACAAACCTGAATTGGATTTTTGACCTGCAGTTATTTATAACTTTAGCTGGTGAAAGTTCAGCTCTCAAAAGTTTCAGGTTCAATAAAATCCTACTGAGGCTTTGCTGTTGAACTGACTGTTGATGTTGTTCTGTCTGCAGGGGTTGTGTTCCACTACAGAGCGAACACCAGCCGCTACACTCTGGATTTCCCTGCAGCTGTGGAGGCGTGTCACTCCGTCGATGCCTCCGTCGCCACACCCGAACAGCTGAGTGCTGCCTTTGAGGACGGCCTCGACCAGTGTGACGCTGGCTGGCTCGCCGACCAGTCAGTCAGGTACATTCACACAATGTTTCTGATGCATTTACTGCAAAATCTCCATTTTTATCTGTCTTTGTCTTCTTGCAGTGCAAATTTCTAAAAATGAGTGATAAAAAACTGCCAATGCAGCAAGAATATGTACACAAGTATTTTCTAATATAACTTAATTTAGCCTGCTTTATTCTTGGTGGTGCCATTTATTTCTAGAGACTACTTCAGTAAAATGGATTTCTTTTGGAAACAAGCCAATATATTCTTTCTACACTGGCTGATTTTTCACTTATTGAAAGACAACTGAGTTTTTTTTTATTTTCAGGTATCCAATCACAATTCCTCGTCCAGGCTGTGCAGGTGATCTGCTGAATCGACCAGGTGTGAGAACGTATGGTATCCGCGACCCCACAGAGAAATATGACGTGTACTGCTACGTAGACAAACTGAACGGTAACTACAACTAAAATATCATGTAAAATGACTGCAGCTCTGTTAACCTTTGTTGACTACTAACATGTGTGTCCTTTGTGTGCAGGTGATGTCTTCTACCCTCCCACCCTCAAAGATAAGGTCACCTGGCAGCAGGCAAATGAGGAGTGTGAGAAGCACGACGCTGTGTTGGCGTCGACCGGCCAGCTGTTTGCTGCCTGGAGGGCGGGACTGAACCGCTGCGACTACAGCTGGCTGTCCGATGGCAGCGTTCGCTACCCCATCACCGTCCCCCGGCCGCAGTGTGGAGGAGGCCTGCTGGGCGTCCGCACGCTCTACAAATACGAAAACCAAACTGGATACCCAGATCGCAGCAACCTCTATGGAGTGTTCTGCTTCAAAGGTAAGATAGGAACACAACCAATACAACATTGACACACGCTGAACACTCCTGTGAACACACACTCCTCCTCTGGTTAGAAGAGGACCAAAATCAACTGTTTGTCATCTGCTTCACCTGGAAGTTGTGTTTTCCCCAGATATTTAAGTTACTTCTCTCCCTGCTATGAATTAGTCTCAGTGATATGTCCCTCCAGGCTGGAATCACTGCCTGAGTTAAAGAGTAGCTCCTGCTGTATTTCTCATTAATGTGTCTGTTGTGTCTCTGTGGGTCAGACTAACTTCTCCAGGAAACGAGGAATCACACAAAACAGCGTGTGACAGTCTATTATAAAGTACAGCTTTCCAAACATTTCTACATAAATCATTTTAGGAGTTTTCAGTCTGAGTAAAATGAAACATGAACATTATCTGTATGGAACAGATATTCAGCCAACTGCATTACTGTTTCCATCAAGGATACCTGCTGACCATGACCACAATCTCTCATAAATTTAATTCATATTTTTCAGATATAAATTCTATTTTTTTCCCAAGTATTAATGTTTCACTGATATTTTCTGGAATTATATATATATATATATATATATATATATTTGACTATTTGTTTATTTTCTATTTTTCAGGCATTTTTTAAAATCAGACACTAATATTTTTCATTTCAGGCATTTCAGTTATATCCTTTTTATTAATTTACATTTTTATGTATGTAAAAACATGAAGAAATAGGTATGAGAAAAAAGTCATAATAGTAAACAAAACATTTAAAAAAATCTAAATACTAATGCCTAAAAATATATATTTTTTTCAAAAACAGAAATAAAAATATGTGAGAAATATGTGTTAGAAAAAAAATGCAAATCTAAAAAAAAATATTTAAATGATATACAAAAAGTATAGCACGCTAACGTTGCTAATATATCTTTGCAAGTTGGACAGTGTGTAAGAGTGTTTGAAACTTTTGTGAATAATAGATGTTCAACATAAAAATAGAAAATGTAAGAAAACACAACAAAATACAAGGAGAGGGAAGATGCTGCTGGTTGCCCTTTCTGAGTTCAACCAAACTGAAGTTTTTCAGGGCCACTCATTAGTCCCTACCCTGGCGTAGAAAGTTTTTTCTGTCCTGATAACAACCTTGGAAGAGCTTCAACGGGGCAGTTACTGCACCTTGTATAACAATAATTTAATGAGGAATGCTATCAAGGATAGCAGTTTGTTTAGATGCAGCTGGGGAACTCACAGCATCAGCAAAATTATAATAATAATAATAATGTTTATTCATAGAGTTGTGGAAGTCAAAAACTTTCCAAAAACTCTGTTCAGGTCAGGGCTGCACCTTTTTGCTGAACTTCCTCCAAACGTCCCAATCAGCAGAAAGCTGCAGCTTACTGAATAAACTCTGAGGTGTGTCACCGCACAAACAAGCCACAATCTGCAGCCGATAAAAGCAGCGAAGCGTAAAGATGTGGCAACAGAGACGGAGCAGAGAGAACAAACCCAAACAGGAGGAGAATAAACTCACTCTGCCCCATTTATGGTGGGGCACGCTTTTTACAAGGGGAAAACCCAACATATGCACTCTAACACAGATAGAGCAGAAACAGGACAGGTCCCTAATGCTTCACAGCTGGAGCTGCCAAACTCCCACCGCCAGACGGACGTACGGACAGAGGGAGGAGGAGGTGGAAAAGAAGGGGAACTCTCCCTTCAGTAACATCATCATTTAAAAACAGAGGTCAGCTCGGTGTGTGCAGCAGCAGCAGCATCACACTGATTTACACATGATAGAACTGTGATCGCTCACATGTCTGGCGGCACAGCGGGACTTTCTGCCGGGTGTCCTGCCAAGCCTTTAGAGAGGTGGCAGAGCTAGCGTACAGTAAAGCGACAGCACGAGGACGGGCCCCGGCTCCTGGCCCCCGACCCCGCCAGACGGCTGCAGCTCGCCAAACACATGACATCATATCTGGGCGGGGCCGAACACGCAGCCTGGGTCTCCTGCATGGCGCAAAGCACCAGAGCCGACCGCAGTGTAAAGCCTCCTCTCTGCAGGCAGTAAACACCTTCAGCAGAAGCATCAATAAAACAATCTGAAAATACTGTAGTGCTGCTTTGAAACTAAAGTCAGAGTGTTATCAGCAACATGCATATAAATGTGTGCAAGCTGACGCAGTCCAACAGCTCTGCAATAAACTCATCGTTTCCATTTTTTGGTTGTCAGAAAGCTGATATTTTATTTTACTGTTGAGTTTTAACTGGCAGCGCACTGGACTGTACATTGAAAAGTGTAACTAGCTTAGCCAACAGTTGACAAACGGACGTGAGGTGACGGAGAACAGAGTCACTGCTCGATGGAATAACCAAGCTCGAGGTGCCGCTATAGCTCACCGGGTTGAGCTGGCGTCCCATGTACAGCGCTACAGTCCTGATGTGGAGGTCGTGGGTTTGAATCCTGCTCATGGCCCTTTCCCACATGTCTTCTCCCCACTTTCCTGTCTCTCTGTCACTGCTCTATCCAATAAAGGCACAAAGGCCAAAAAAATAAGTTTAAAGAAAAAACCAAGCTTACAAAAAGAATGAAAGGAAAAACGTTCGAGCCACCTCAACTTCCTGCCTTGGAAAGCCACCTGTTGACCACTTTGTATGCCTTTAGATATTTGCTGCTCAGATATGAGGAATTTAAGAACGGCTGGATTCTAACATATCAGGTCCCTATCAGAGTCAACATAACCAAGCTTTTAGCATTGTAGCATTGGAGCGAACCAGCTTAGCCAACTGCTAACAAATGGAGTCAGTGCTTGCATAGTCATCTAGCTTGCAGAAAGCCTGACGGGGCTGTTCTTGTGAATGCTACCAAGCACCTGCCCTGACTTATTCCAGTAAGAAGGCCCTTGTTGGCTGCTTCATATCAACCTTTAAAGATTTGTTGTTTTTAGATTGTCAGATGTGACAGTTTGAGTCTTTTTTCTAAAGTCACACATTATGGTTAACTGAAGATATTGGGTTTCTGATCAGACAAAACAAGATATTTAAAGACATGAATACGATCTGTGGGAAAATATACTGAGCGTTTTCACTATTTGCTGTCATTTCATAGACAGAACTGTTATTAAATGATTGAAAAAATAATCTGAAGATAAATCAGTACAGAGAATATCTGTCAGTTGCGGCAAGAGTAGGGCCCCAACAGTACTTATTGTTAGCACTGAGTATGAGCTTGAGGGTAGTGTGAAGAGAGTCTGGGAGGAAGAGTGGAAAATTAAACAGGAGAAACAGCCACCCCTCCCATCCATCCATACGTTGCCCCTGACAGCCAACAGATCGGGGAGGGAGAGAGGGGAGTCAATTACATCCCGTTTATTAAAGCATTATGTCAGTGACGTTCAAAGCCTGCTGCTTACTCCCAGGACGCTAACTATATGAACTCAGCACTAAGACGTACACAAAGGAGAGCATTGTATGCGTGTTTGGGAGTCCTATTTCCCGTCTTTTCTCATATGGTATGTGTTCCATCATAATGAGATATAAATCTTTGCAAGCATCACAGCCTGTTTTGAAGAGGTCTTTACAACAAAACCCGTATGGTGTTTTCAGAGTTGTACACAGTGTGCTTAGAGGGAAAAAAGAGAAACCAGTTCACTGCGAAAAATAAGTGAACTAACTCGCAGAAACCTCTCCGTGCAGATTTGCAGTTGTTTCCCAAAAAGATAAGAAAGTGGTGAGACAAAACCTAAAAACCTAAAGCTTTCTCCATAAGACTGACACTTCAGGCTAAATTTCTCCTCAGCTGGACTGACCTAAGGGTGTTGCACAGAGACCCTTAAGGGTCAACATTGGGGCAAGGGCAAGCAGTAAATACTGTGACCCTTTTCAGCAGGGTTATACCATATGAAACTAACCAAATAAAAAAAAAAAAAGTTCCAACCTGACCCCCTTAGAATGAGCTGATTTTTTATGTACAATAACGTAAGTATATTTAATAAAATCCTGCAAAATTTTGCAGAGAGTTACAGGCCCTTGAAGTACATAGAGGTGGGTAAAATGTCATGCTTTTAACTTTTTCCAGCTTTTCTTATCCCCAGATAGACACATAAAACTTTCAGGGGGAAAAAAAAAATCAAAATCAAACGATAATGATGCTCAAAATTGGTTATAGGAAAAAAAACATACTAAAGAAAATTCACTTGTGGAAACAGAAACACAAAGACTGGAGTTTAACAGACAGTGAAGAAATTGAAACAGGAGATCCTTAAAACAGCAGCAGAGACTCTCACACTGATCTGAACTCAAACAAGTCTACAACCATGAAGTAAATAACAAATAAAATACTTTGTGTGTAAATTCTGTGGTTTTTGGGGACCACACGTCCACTCGGGGCCAACGGTGAAATATTGGAGGAGAGACAGGTGTGGTAAAGACAACAATTAAGGCGATTCAGTTTATTTTGCCCTGCTAGGTTGGGTTAAGGTTGTGTCGACATTCTTACTTGTTGACTCTCACAACCTTTCTGTAAATGTTAGTTCAGGGAAGGAGGTATCAGACTTTTGTTTTGGTCTGAGATGCTGCTGCTCTGATGATATCCGGTAGTTATGAACACTGCACATTGAACCTTTAAGTTAAAGACTTAAGGGTGTTTTGTGAAACTGATTTTATTTTTAAAAAGCCTTAAAAATCTCAGTGTGTTTCGTGGCGTTAGTGAGGGCTTCGGTAGTGACTGTTATTCTCTGACAGCAGCCTCCATGCCGTCAGAAGGTCCACTCTCATTCCTGACAGGTGACTTCATGTTTCATAAGTAAAAGCTGCTACATTTCCTTTTATAGTCTGCTTAAAGCTAACAGCAGCCTGACAGTTGCATGATTAGCATTTTCCAGATAGCAAAGTTTTCTTTTTAATGGCTCATGACGACACTGATTTCATTCTGTAAACTGTTTTTGTTGGATATTACTGTGGTTTGCTTGACCACTGGAGGACCAGACTCATTGTTCTGCATGTTTAAGTTCACTGATGACAAATTTTGCTGAATTTATAATGCCACAGAACTTTTTTTTGTAAAGCAGACCAGGGCTAGTTTTCTACCTGTGAGGAAAAATGTGACCAACACAGTCCCTGTCCCTTAGTATGTAAATACAAGAGCTGCTAATTTACCGATGCTATAAGCATATGTTATGGGCATCAGTTCCAGTAGTTTCATTGTTTTCCATGTTTTCTAAACCTCTCTCCTCTCTTGTGTTCCTCTCTCTCACAGCTAAACTACCAGAACCGACTACTGCGAGTTCCCAGGTGAGTACAGCTGTGTCAAACCCCACATCTGCTCCCTCACACCCTGAAAGAGCTGAAATCCAAACAGGACAACCAGAGCCCGTCGCATATTCGCCAACAGAAAGCCCACTGGTGGACCTCACCTCCCCTCACACCTCAACCTCAGTGGCCCCCTCCACCACCTTAGACGAGTTTGATGTTCTAGATTTTGATAACTCACACAAGGTTGAGTCGATACCCATCAGAGGAGACACTTTGATCCCCATGCAGCTCCCTCCGTTACCTACTTCCCGCTCGCAGCACGAACACCTTGACATCTCCCATGGGGGGGAGGAGGGAGGCCATACGGGGTCAGGCCGGGGTGACAGCAGCGGCAGCGGGGAGGGAGGCAGTAGCGATGACAGCTCTGGAGCCGTGACCCCAGAAACCACGTTGAGACCAAGATGGCTTCCAGAGACCACAGTGAGGATGGAAACCTCGTCCCTGGAAGTCACTTTGAGCCCTTCAGAGATGACTGCACTCACTGTCACAGCAGAGCCAGGACTCCCAGCCGGGGCCACAGAGGATGGGCAACAACCTGCCGTGGTTTTCAAAGAGGACGTCACCCCTGGAACTCCACCAATGTTCGACATGGAGCACTCTCTGGATGTGTCTGCAGGCGGAGAGTCATCAGGCAAACCGCCGTTCCACGTCATCATCGTCAACGTGCACAGCCAGAATCAGTCAGGTGAGTGTCTGCTGGGACCGAGCTGGTGCTGACTAGAGTCGTCCCGATCAAGTTTCTCCAGAGTCATTTAATATTTACAGTCTCATTCTTCTTGACTGCTACATATTTTTAATCTGCTGCATTTTTTCCAGCTACTTTTGCGTAAAGAAGTTGTGATCTCTAAAATATGCCACACTGTAAATGATTAACAGCATTGTTTCATGATATTTTGAATTGATTTTTTTCCTTTTCATGATGCCTTTCTGTCATAAACTGATAAAGAAATTTACCAGAATGCAGTAGAGTAAGTAAAATTTCCTAGAGAAGGACAACTAGGTTCTTTCTTAATGTGCCAACCCTCCCTTACAATTTTAAAATGAAATCTACACCCCTGATGTCACGACTTTAATAATGAACACCATCAATTAGGGATGTCTCAATCAAGTTTCTCCCATCCAGCGAAGAGCAGCTGAAAAAAATAGTCTGATGAATGGCAGAACATTTCTCCGTAGATTTGGTATCCTTCATGCTGAGGAGGATTAAGTCTGTCATCAAAAATGAAGGTGGACGTACGTGTGATGTATTGAAAAAGTAAGAGATTTAAATGTCAGTAATAACTGACAAATACTGAGTTTTGTTGCTTAGAGTTCCTACTTTGGAGCCTGTATTTTAACATAGTAAATCTAAGCTGTTAGCTTTTCATTCTACATCAGTGCAAATTCTCTTCTGTTCTTCTGTTCTGTCTTAGTGGTAATAAGTTCCTGTGATGTGATGATACCGTTTTGAATCATTTGACATTTAAGTGATATTGCACAGGGGTGTACTCCCTTCTGCTATATGCTATAAGTTGTAGCCCTTCCTGCATCTTTCGCAAGCCTTTAGTGTTTTGGGACGCAACGTTTGGGTCTTTCTGTGAGAACATTTATCTTCCAGAGTGACCTCATGTGCGTTACGGTATGCTGTAAGGGACTGCACACTAATCCGTTTCAGGTGATTTAGTATTGTTTGTTGTCTCAGTAGGAAACAACTAATGGTTTGTTACCTTTGTGTTTGTATGCCGACAGATTCTCACACACAAACACACTTGGTATTTGCAGAGCCAGATGTGGAAATGATGAAGTCAGTGATCTCTGTGCGTCTAGTTTTGCAGCTAAACATACTGTAAACACATCACAGCGTCTCCTTTGGGGAAAGCAGCAGTGCCGCATGAATAGTTGTTCCCTTTGCCTTTCTTTCTCTTTCTCACACACAAACACACAGTGGTGGTCTGAAGGAGTGATTAGTCTCTGTTGTCTTCAGCAGGCATGTCTACAGACGTCTGAATATCTGTAGAAAGAGAACCACAAATAGCTGACCTTAATTAACTATTCTCCAGGGAGCGGGCTGAAACTAACAACTTCTCAATCTCTTTACTTACATTCATCTGTGTTGGTTGTATTACCACCAAGGATGGATTACACCGAGCAGACTTACCAAGAACAGGCCCAGAGGCCCGAGGGCTCAGAGGGCCCCCAGCCAGAGCCTCTGGTTTGTTATTAACATTTCTTGGAAAAGTCCAAATACTTGTTCGGAAGTGAAGAAGTTATGAGTTGTTTTTTTTGTGATTATTTCGTATCTTCTGATTATTGTTGGATTATGAGACAATGAGTAACTGTGCACTGACACGCAAAAGGCCCCACACCTCTTACGAAGGAGCCACAGATTTGCTAAATTACTGAGAGTTTGTTTTGCATGTCCTTGTAGCTGAATTTTGTCTCTTTGGAGTTGTTTTGGATCGCTTTGTAGCTGTTTTTTCTCTCTTTGTAGTTGTTTTGTGTCTCTTTGTAGTTGTTTGAGTTGTTTTGGATCGCTTTGTAGCTGTTTTTTCTCTCTTTGTAGTTGTTTTGCATTTCTTTGTATTTGTTTTTCAAATCCCCTTATTTGTTTCTTGTGTCTCTTTGAAGTTGTTCTGTATCTGTTTGTTATAGTTTTGTGTTGCTATTTCGTTACGACCATTTCACATGTCTTTGTAATCACTTTCTGTCCAGATGCTGCCTCTTTAAGAAGCCATTCCTGTTACAACATAATAAAATGATAGAAATAAGTATAGATAAGGCAGTCATGAAGAAACAGAAATCTTGCAAGTGGAAAAGGTTAAGAGTAATTTACAAATGATAACGGGCCCAGTTCTGGATTTTGCCTGTGGCCTCAAAATCACACACACCTCTGCACGCTCACTCAAATTACAGAGTTTGTTCCCTTCAGCAGAGCGGTGCCATCTTCCAGGAGTGTGTTTATTATGGAAACATTGTGTCCTGTTGCATCTGTAATATATCATTACAGAAAGCAGCCGCTCGTTTGCATGAGTGGCACCGACTCACTGTTTCCACAGAAATTGGGAAAATGAAAGCAGCGAGTGTTGTGATGAATCGTTTTCCTGAGTCGCACGGAGGCTTTTTTAGACTTTGACAGAATCGGATTAGCCGAGTCGTGGCGTGTTTCTTTGTTCGTCCTCACACAAATTTACCAATCTCGGCTTTGTGTTGTATTGTTTTTCCCACGATGCAACTTCCATGGGCACTGTAAAGTCTTAATGAAGTCACACAAGCGTGCATTGTTTGAGAGCAGCCACTGGCACCAACCGACCTTAATCATAAGCAACACAGACCCCCGACTGTTCACTATCCAGATATGCTGTTTGGCTCGTTTTAATCAATATCAGAAATGAGCTGCAGTGGGATTCGCAACAAGTACTCAGATACTTTACTGAAGTAGCAACACCACCATGAAAAAGTAAAGTAAACAAGCTGACATTTAGTATGTTATTACTTTGGATCATTTTCACGTCAACATAAAGTCCTGTACCTCAATGGAAACAGCACAACCATGACTAGAAGGAGAGAGAACTCAAATCAGACAAATCAGAATTTACGGCCTTATATCTGACATGATTACTGACATTTACTTTACAAAATAAATACATTGAAATCAATTTGCCTAACGCTTTTCCTATAGGTACTCTGTTACCAACACTGGGGGAAAAAATTGTGGATCTACATACTATTTTACCATTTACCTTTTTATTTTGTTTCCATATTTGTCCAAGGCTCAAAACCTGTCCAAAATGTCTGAGCAAAAATTAATCGCAATTTGTCCAGAATGACTCAGATATTGTCCCAAATGACTTAAAACTTGTTTGAAATGACTCAGCAGTTGTTGAGAATGGCTCAAAATGGTCCAAAATGGCTTGTGAAGTTTCCCTCAACTGCTCATCGTGAACTTCAGCGTAGTTGAGATGCACCATGACAAAGTTATCATGTGCTCCATTATAGTTGACTGACATAGATACACTTAACACTGTAGGATTAGTGGTGACATAAACTTAGAATCGAATTTACATGAACAGTGCAGCAACGGTACTAAAACAAATAGCATTACACTCCTAACTATAGAGTCCAAAACAGTTGTCTATAACAGGCTGTAAACATGTTTATATTTTCAGTAAATCTGGATTTTTTAACGTGGGGATTGACTCTCTTTGGGAGCTTGAAGTGGACATTCAAGGGACTGCAGTTTTTGGAAAATTGATTTTTCAGCCCTGGAGGTTGCAGCTGAGATGATTAAAGGTTCGATTCACAAATCTGGATTAGTTTTCTTTGGATTTTTCTTCTTCTTTGGGCTTTGCACAGTACTTTAAATGAAACCATGTGAGAAGTTTAGAGGGGAAATGTCTGTTTGGTAGAACTGCAAACAACTCATGAGCTTTCTTTTACAAGCCAGAAAGGTTAAAGACCACCGCCTTAAACTTTTAAAACAAGCTCATCACATGTTTTTTAATGTACGATTTTAATCTCACAAGAAACTAAAGCGGCTACTTAAATGTAGTGCAAAAAAAAGTACCTTAATTCCCCTCTGAAGTGAAGCTGTGGGAGTATTAAGCAGCATCATGTTTTGCACATGCGTCTTAACCGTTTGAGCTTTTGCCCCTTTCCGTCATCTGCAGCGGTTTAATGGCAGTGATTGTAGAGTTAGCGACACCTGCTGTTTATCTGATGATCTGATGGGGGATTGAAATGGGGGAAAAAATTACATTTGCAAAGAACCCAACTTTGATTGGTACAGCAAACAAAAAGAGTCTGACTGATACTTTATGATTAGGATTTCTGGAGCCAACACTGAGTTTAAGGGAGTAAAAAATTCTAAAAACTACAAATATTTCAACAGTCTTTATACTGAATATGTACTTATTTATATAAGTTGTAGCATCATGTTTTCTGCTTTCTTTTGTACACTTTAGTGGAGCTGTTCTTACTTGTACTTGCACTTGCTGTTTATCTGATGAACCAGTTTGCAGAATTTCTTCACTGGTGGTGGATTGAAATGGGGAGTAAATTGCATTTTTGTGGATTTTCTTGTTAGAAATTGCATTTGCAAGAAAACTAGCAAGATATATACACATATATTTCACAAGCTAGTGCGCAACTTACTGTGAAGACTCTACCATATGTGCTGCATACAGTGCTTTCTGCAAACGTAGCTAGAAAAAAATGTAGTAGAATAACAATAACATGTGTTAGCCCAAAGGTGGATGTAAGGATGTGTGAGTACTCCACCAGTGAACATCATCTGAGCATCATTACATGGTGGAAGGATGGTTCTGGGTTTATTAAAAATCTGTTCTTTTCCTTAAAATTCTAGCGCTATTGAAAAAAATAATCACAGGTTGGATTTAGTTTGAACACCAGTGAGTCTGGGTGTCTAACACTTCAATTTCTGCATTCTGGTACATTCTTTCCTTTGTTCCTTTTCTACATCAGTTTATGGTGGAAACATCTTTTTCCATGTGAAGGAAAACCAGGCAACAATTTAAAATATAATAGATAAGATGTTGTGTATTTTGTCTAAATATTTATTTGCCAGTAGATTTCACATGTATTATTGTCCTCTGTTCTTTTTTGTGTCTGTTGTTTGTGGTAGTAACCTCTTTGACTGTGCATGTGATCTATTTTCATCATTTGGAATTACAGATAAACTCTTGGACTTTAATAGCACATCTCCAAAACTTTTTGCACATTTAGAACATATTGCACATATCTGTGTTTGACATTTTGACAATTTCATGTTAAATTCAGGCACTGGTGCTTTATTGTCTCTTTTTTTCTTACCTGATTTGTAACCGTGGTTTCTTGTGTGTCTATAGTTGACATGGTCCTGGACATCTTAAACCAGCCTATGAACGGCTCCCAGTTCCCCCAAATCACCGACCTCAGTCAGCTGGCCATCCAAGGCAGCGGGGACGCCGACTCCCTTGATCCATCTCCAATCAATCTACCTCCAATGGTCAGCTTTGTCAATGGAAAACATGAGGTACTGTCTATTTACTGGAGTGTTTAGTTGACAGGCAATTCCAGCATTAGTTATATTTTTGTAATTTTGGTAAACGTTTCCATTGTTTAACCCTCTGAGGCCTAAAACTTGCAGTTTTGAAACTCATGTTCTGAGACATTTACCAAGTCTGAGCTTAAAGTTGTGATATTTTATCAAAATCACCCCTATTTACTTCAGAGGCCTGTAACTGAAAAAATAGTAATTTAAAGGTAAAATTAGCATGGCGTCATTAAACATACTAAAGTTATTGTGCAGAAAAAATCAGCTGATGCAGATAATTGTTGATTTCATATGAAATGACCCAAATGCAAAACAGGAAGCTGCTGAAACACATTCTCTTTTTGTTGCTAATGAAATGAGCACAGATGGTAAAATGACCAAACCTACCAAAGCAGAGACCCAAGTTACAATTAAATTACAACATGATACTTTATAAACCTTTATTTTTTAATTATGCACTTTCCTGATGTGTCCAGGTGACGTTGGCACCAGAGCCGCCAGAGGAAGCCCGAGGTGATCAGTTTGAGACGGCCACCCCTGTTCGTGTGGAGGAAGTGGAGGTGGAGGAGAGGGAGGAGGACTCCAGTGTGACTCCCTTTGACTATGGTGTCATAGAAATCCACACAGAGGAGACGCCTACAGAGGATAACAGTGATCAGGTCTCTCATCCTACAGATTCGTACTCAGATGGAGGTTCAGTCTCTGGCCTGGAGGCTGAAGCATTTCCTGATGTCTTCACACCACTTGATGGACTCAGAACTCAGGATGAAACAGCGACGACCACCACATTTACCCCACCTGTTTCATCACCAGTATCCACCACACGGTCGAGCTCAGGAGTTTCCACCCATGAGGACATGGAAGGCTCTGCAAGCCGCACCACTGATGAGGAGCCTGGCACTACACTTGATGGCTCTGGTGCTCCTACCACGCCAGCTGCAGGTGGCCAGCCGGGTGTGATGACCGACGAGACAGAAATCGGAGGGACGGAGTCTCCGACTTTAATCCCTGACACAAAGCCCCAGGAAACCACCACAGAGCCGCAGATGGAGGACTCAGAGGGCTCTGCCTCAGGAGGAGAAGACGAGGCCTCAGGGCAAGACGTTTATCCATCAGAGACACCCACATTCAGTAGCACACCGTCACCAATTCACTCCACCCTCCACACCGCGCAGCGTCCACCTGCAGCTGGCAGAGAAGCCACAGAAACACCAGTAGTTTCACCGGATGCTGTAGCAGAAACTGGCTCGGGTGCAGAGCAAGTGTCTGGGGATGGGGAAGAGTCAGAGGAGCAGGATGGTCTGGATCCTGCAGAGGTCACGGTTTCACCAGCAGTGGCAGCTGTGACGTTTGGAGACCAAACCACAAAAATACAGCACACGACTGTAGAAAGCACCACACTGACACCCTCCACACATCTGTCCCTTGCTGCCACAAACGCTACGAAACATCCAGCAGTCACCACAGAGCCTCCAAACACGACCTCAGACGACCACACTGAGCTTTACAGCGAACACACCAGTCTGTCCTCTACAACCTCCACGCAGGACATCAGCCAGACTACTCTCTCCACGACGTCCCCTCTGTATACCTTTGACCAAAACACCCATTCCGTCCCTGACTGGGCTCTGATCCCCGACCCGCACGCCACCGCTCTGCCAGATGAAGATTTTGTGGACTACGACAAGGAGATTGTCCCCGATCTGGTGGAGGCCCTCCCACAGAGACCCGAAGAGACCGAGGCAACAGAGGAACCTGAAACCGGCACTGACTCGGCTTATTCTGTGGAGGCCAGCACGGTGAACGTCAGAGGTACGTGTTCTGTAGAGAATTCAGTGGTGATTGTTTTACTAAGTTTAACCATCTGAAACCTAAAACCTACTGACAAGTTTGAAGTGAAAGAAATGCCAAAATTACAAAATTACAAAATAAAACCAAAAACAATTTTCAGATTTTCATCTTCATCTCGATCCTTGAACTACTCATCTGTGACATAAGATTCCTTTAGGAAAAAAACTACATCTGTGCTTAAAATCATGATATTTCAACAAAATTACTTTATCTTACACATCTCATTTAGAAAGATTAAAAGATTTGCACCAGATCCTGTTAAAAACAAAATATCCTGAGCTTCTCAGAACTGAACTGAATTAGTAGTTTGAGCGACAGTATGCCACTCCTGCTTCAGTGGGACATATAACTAAAAAAAGAACAGCTGGAAGCAAAATGAGATGAAACCAAACCTCTGAACCCCAATACCCATTGATGGGTTTCAAAAGCATAAATAAAACATCCAAATTCTATCCTTTACTGTCAGAACTGTCAGATTCTCAACTTTCAGACTGCCGTTGAACTACTCAACTGTTCTGTCAGGGGAAAAAACAAATCTAAGCTTCATAATAGGATCCATTGTCGCAGTTATCCATGTCACCGTAGCTCTCTGAGCTTTAGCAAAAAGCAACTGGGCTTCCCTTTTAGGTTCTTGAGGACGTTTTATGTGAAATGAGCGACTGCAAGCCGACACAAAATGAACACAAAGATGCTAAATGACAACAAAGAGTGCAAAGCGACCCCGAGACACTGATACAGGTGTGATTTTAACCATGTTGTATTCACTGTGCAGATCTCCTGCCGTGTTCCACCAGTGTGTGTCTAAATGGAGGCTCCTGCTACAAGAGAGGAGTTCAGAACATCTGCGTCTGTGCACCTGGATACGTCGGGCAGCGCTGCGAAATAGGTACAGTAGCACACACAACCGAACACACTGACCCCGCATTGACAGGCTGAGGACGTGGAATAATGAAGGCTTGTGTTGCAGATGTCGATGAGTGCCAGTCGAACCCGTGTCTGAATGGAGCCACCTGTCTGGACGGGGTCAACTCCTACACCTGCCTCTGCCTGCCCAGCTACGCCGGAGAGCTCTGCGAACAAGGTCAGAAATCAGGGACAACAGCGTTTATCTAGATGTAAATGAAAGGAATCTGCTCTGTAAACTGTTGTGAATATTAATAATTTTATTTTCATTTATATTTGATTAACATGAGGGTTTGTTTCTTGGTCATTCCCATATGTAATTAACTAAATCTGAAGAAAGATCCCAACTGATCCTCCCAGAATCAGCAGATTTATTTATTTTTTAATCTACAGTGACTTCAATATGTTTAATGAAATCCTGCAAATTTTTTTACCTCATAACATGAATATTTACAGCTAAAGGCCCTTTGAAGAACATAGAGGTGGGTCGAAATTTTGCACTTTTTCATTGGTGTTACTTTTTTCCATAATTTTTGAGCCATTATAACTTCATAAGTACAGGAGATAAACAAATGAAAAGGGCCGGAAAACACAAGTGTGCAGTTTTATTTCACCCTTATGTACTCAGGGCATCTTACTCCAAAACTAAAATGACTGTACATGAAAATAATCAGCTGATCCTGAGGGGGTCAGGTGGGAGGCACTGATTGATTTTTTATGGAATGATCCTATAATCCGTTTTATTAAAGGAAATGATGCCCCATACTACAAAAACAAGACTAAAGTCACAACAACATGAGATTATCATTTAAATATAAGCGATCTACACGCGCTGACCTACATTCAAGCAGGTAAATAAAGTGTACAAACTGAGCGTTCGGTCCTCAGCTGTCCTCCAACTCTGGGCGTCGGCTCCTTGGCAGATTAGTTCCAGCCTCTTGTCCAATATTTCTGTCATTACTCAGCAGCGAGTCGAGGCTCAGGCTCTCAAGAGCTCTCCAGGGATTAATGTTTTCCATGACCATGCACCAGAGTTCAGTGATGAAAGTTGAAGATGGTTTTGCTGTTGTTCTGGAAGCAGAAGTTAGTTTCAAGACCATGTTTTTTTTTTTTTCTCCATGGTATAATCATAACATTGAACAAGTGGCAGCTCCAGCAGTAAATCATTGTGCATCAGATCAGTTATTAAATAAGATTTAACTGCCGTCTGTCCTCCAACCAGTTTCTGGGTGTTTTTGGTTCCTATACATTTTTTTTCTCACTGTGGGATCACTTTTTTTTTTACTGCAATACAAAGTCCTGCATCTCTATGGAAACAGAATAACGATGACTAGAAGGAGAGAGAACTCAGAAATGTCTTCTCTGCAGTAAATAGTTGGAAGTCACCATACGTTTATGAAGAGTTGGAAGGTTGAAAATCTGACAATTCTCTCTGTTTGTACAGATTCTGGTTGACAAATGGTAGGGATCGACCAATGTGTTTTTTTTCAGGACCAACGCTGATGCCGATTATTGGTAATTGAAAAAGACGAACAACCAATATTGATTACATGCTGTATTTTAACAGCATATGATAGCAGGTAACCTGTCATTTATGACTAAGCCTCTTTAAGCGTCACAGGATGTTTGGACGATCTCCTCTGTTTACTGTGAGATTGATAATGGTTTGCTTCTCCTCACCTGCTGTTCATCTCTGTTTTGTTCTTCTCTCTCATTCCACTCAACTTTTTTTCCCTTTATTGCCCACTAAGGCCCATATCTTCAACCATTATTGTTGTTTTCCAGACACTGTTTCGGGGTTTTCAGTGACTGCCCCCTAACTTAGCTCCTGTCTGTCAGTTAGAACAGAGCATTAAAGGTAATCCTGCTTTAGAAAGATGTTACAGGTACTTCAGAGTTAGCCACAGGCCTGACAGTTACCGTCTTAGTGATAGCCTTAAACTAGCATCATCAGGAAAATAAAGTCCAGCTGCACTGACACCAACAAGGGAATTATTTGGAATTTTGCATATGAATATATATCTATATATAAACACGGGAACTGGGCATGCTTGTGTATGATTGTTATGCATCTTACAACTTAATTCATTTCTGTTACCTCACCCTCAAAACACAACTCAACCGTGCAGATGCACTCGTCTGTCCCTGTCTGTAAACAGCAGCTTTTAGTGGTGACTTGCTGTTACTTGTGACATGTAACCAAACAATCATCACAGCATTAATTTGCTGGATGAAGCTTGATTTACACTTCTGCATTGAATCCATTGAATGATGATGCTTTAGTGAAACAATATATACTGTATAACTCTAGCTGTAACTGGCTGGTTATTTTCACAAAACGCAAGAGCCAGTATTTGGTCATTGTAGCCGAAAGCTGCTTTCTGGTTTTCGTAGTTCTGCTGATTACTGTATAGACTCAGTTGGTTTTTCTTTGTTATGTGTTGCAGTAATCTCAGTAAAGATAACTTTTGTTCAACATTTATTAGCTCCATTTCCAACATGATGTGTGTTGTTTTAGCTGCCATTATTTGAAGTGCATAAAGAGACTCTGGAGAGTGGCACAGACACACCAAAGCACAAGTCTAAATGCTCACAATAGTGTATATTCAATGTAGGAGGATAACTTGAGCTTAATGACTTGACCATGAAGAAAACAGATTTGAAACATACCAGAAAAAAGCACTGCTTCTCTTCACATTGTCAGTTCTGTCAGAAAAGTGGAAAATTCCCCATCTGCGGGGTGTATCCATGTAAAAGATGAATGCAAACTTAGATGTAAATTTTTGGCCTATTCACTGTAGTTTTCCTTCCTGATACACGCAGAAGTTAGTAGACAGGGACTCAGAGACACAGCTGTCCTCTCGGAGCTCTCTGCCAGTGGAAAGAAGGAGAAAAACAGATAATTGCTCCATTATTTAGCCAGAAAGCTTTTGCAGCTGTGTGGCATTGAAAGAGTCCAGCTAAACTCTGCCACGCACTGAACCAGGCTGCCCTTCATGTCCTGTGTTAGGCTGCATTGACTGAGCTGACCATCCAGCAGCTCTGCCTTCATTAAGGACCTCACCTGACCCCGCAGGTGGTTGCTCAGTGCAGTTATTAAGATGAGGCGGGCCAACGATGGCTTTTACCCCGAAGCCTCGACAGCAACTTTCCATCACGACTTTATTGGCACAGAAAAGATTCTGAAGCCACTGACACAAAACAGCCATTGTTTGCTGAGGCCGACAAAGCAGAGGGCTGATTAAGTCGTTGTATATCAAGCTAAATGTGTGTGTTTGTGTGTGTGTTTGACCTGCAGACAACTGGATATTTGTGAGGGTTAATGAAGTCCAACTGTGTGTTACTGAGCTCACTCAGCAAGGGGATTTACTCCCCAGCTGGACCTCCGGGTCTCTCTCTCTGTAGAACAACAGAGTCTGATGAGAAATAAACAAATCAGAGCAGCTTCATTGTTGCAGCAGCACGAGTCCAAATCGACTGGCTGTGGGCAACTTCATGCATATAATCAAATTAAAAACTTTCTTCCGGACTGTAAATCAGTGATTGCAAAGCAGGGCTACGTGGGGAGATTGTGGAGCAGCACGACTCATCTGAGAAAGGAAACGGTGATTTGATTGCTCAGCTGTAACACCTGAACAGTGGCAGTACATGAAAACTAGTTAGCAAGCAGAGGTGTCTAAACGGGTGCATTTCACTTTTTTTTATTCAGGTGCACCCTTTTCACTGTCTTTTGGCACCAAATAATACATTTTAGGTACCTGTACTTTTTTTTTTAAGCTAAAACGTTGTTCCCAAGGATGCTTATGCTGCATTCTTTGCAAAAAATGCATAATGTTGGCTGTTTTATCATATCTCACTGTTTCAGGCTGAGAATATACCTGGTGGTGGGTGGCATGGCCTGACAGGTGTGCACGCAGAGACTCACACAGTTTAGAGGCAAAGTGTAATCTAGGTTGTTTTCTGGAGCTACAGTTTACAGATGCCCTATAAAGCATCATTATGTAGACCACTGCTAGACACTACAATTTACAAATGTTTCCTAAATGCCTCACATAGATCGATAGACGTTCAAATTTACATATTGAAGATGAGTCGGTTCACTGAGAACACATTCCTATGGCTGAGTGGATAAATATTACTTCGACGATTTTCCAGTGGATGTTATGTGTCTGTGTTCAAAAATTGCTTCATCAGCTTATGGCAAATGTCCAAATGTCTGTACTTCACTTGACAAAACAATTAATTGAATATTTGCGCCTCACAAGCAAACTATTAACAGGTGTTACAACTTACTAATGTTCTTCTAATGCCTCTTGCATTGAAAAACTTGGCATTTTGCAGATGTCCCCCTAAACTGTGGACATTAATCAGTAGATGTCCAGTTTCCAGATGTTCCTTAAATGCCACACATGCAGACTACTGGTCTACAATACTATCACTAATGCTCCATAAACGCCTCACATGCATCAGCAGATGCTGCTAGAGAGGCATCAGTTACTGCAACACAGCAGCTCAGGCAGCTGTGAGATCAAACATGAACTTCAAGTGAAATAAGAGGTTCCAGTGTGAGAGTTTCCTCAGCTGAAACTGCTGTTAGAGTCCATCCACCTCAACTTTGGAGATGTTGTGAATCTCAAACCAACAAGTCTGCAGCCAACAATCCTGCCACAGTCACTGAGCTCACATTTTCCTTCATTCTGATATTTGTTGTGAACATGAACTGAAACTCCTGACCTGTATCTGCACTGCTGCCACACATTACTGGCTGATTGGATAAATAAGCAGGTGTTCCAGATGAAGTGCTCAGTGAATGTTTACTGTATTTGAGTGTATAATTCTGGACTGCAAACTGCAAAAAATTCAACAATTTGTTAAAAGAAATTGCAGATTGATACAAACAGTGAAGACAAAGTATACTCAGTATATTTATGGTTCTTTAACACCTGGTGTTTTTTCCTCTGTGCAGACACGGAGGTGTGCGGATTTGGTTGGCAGAAGTTTCAGTCACACTGCTACAAGTATTTCACACACCGTCGTACCTGGGATGCTGCTGAGAGGGAGTGTCGACTGCATGGAGCTCACCTGGCCAGCATCCTGTCACACGAGGAGCAGCTCTTTGTCAATCGTAAGTTGTCTTCATGATGTGGCCGAAAGTGTTATAACATGCGGATTACTGTTCCAGGGCTCCGCTGGGAGATGTGGGTGTCAGCCACAGACTACAAATAAAAGATGGACGTCGCCAGCCGGCGATTCCTGTGCTTGCTAAATCTGAATATATAGATGAGGAAATTGGTCGACTTCTCACTTGACCTGATTTACTTCAGTAAACATTTTCCTTATGAGTTGGTCTTAATGGTCTTAATCACTAGCATCAAGTCTCCTTCAACACAGCATGGTGTTCATTTGTCAAATTATGGTTTCATACTGAGAAAAATAGATGATAAATCAGGGTGTGTTTTAGAGCAGGGCTAGACTAGGATTGACAAGTTAGCTTCCCCATGCTCACTACGTCCAGTTTAAAAAAGAATAAAACAATATGGCTGCAAAAAAGCAAAACAACGACAAAGAGACACAAAACAACCAAAAAGATACACAAAATGTCCACAAATAAGCACAAAATGCCAACAGACATAAAATAACCACAAAGGCCACAAAACAGCTACAGAGAGACACAAATAGAAAACAAAGACACAAAATGACCATAAAGTGACTCAACTCGGCCATAAAGCCATGCAAGATGACCACACACACACACACACACACACACACACACACACACACACACACACTAAATGATCACAAAGTGACACAAAATTAACACAAAGACACAAAAAAAGACCAAAAAGACATGCAAAATATCCACAAAATGTTCAGAAAGACAGGACAAATCAGGAGAAAAACATGCAAAATTACCAAAAAGTAATGCCAAAAGAACACCTTTTGCCTTCCCGGTTATCATTATCAGTTACAGTGTCTAAAAAATATATATCTGCTGAAATGGTGAAATTAAAGTAAAAATAAGTTCCCAGACAGACTGTCTAAACCATCTGTTCCATTTCATGTAGCTGCTTCATTCTTCACTTTGACTTAGAACATCACCTTTAGAGGTTCAACCACAGTTTTATTGGTCAGTCGATTGTTACAGACCTTTTGGTTCGTTCATGGTTGGAAGGCTGGTTGTTTTCTGTGAGATGGAGAGACATGTTTGTGCTCCTCTGCAGTGATAAAGTCAACAAACGAGTTTCTGTTTATTATTAGAGCAGCTGATGTGTTGGTCAGTGCACTTGTTTGTCAGGATTGTCAGGAAGTTAGAACAGAGAGTTTCCATAGAAAATCAAACTGAGTGTTTGAGGTTGTGTCTCTTGGTTTACTGGTGAAACTGCTGACAGATGAAATGGACCTGAGCACTGTCTCTCCCCACCTCTCTCCCAAACCCTCTGCAGTGTGATAATCCTCATCAGCTGCTTCCCTTCATCCATGAATGAACTCACACTTGGTGTGGTTTTTTTCCTCTGCAGGTCTGGGCAGTGACTACCAGTGGATCGGCCTCAGTGACAAGATGTTTGAGAGGGACTTCAGATGGACCGATGGCAGACCTATGGTACAACCAACACCTACCAACTGACACGTCAGACAGTAATGTCCTGGACATTCCATCTCTGTAAAGTCTAACACAGAGAGCTACTGACTGAAACACTGAATCTCACAAAGAGACAATCAAACATTTAGGTTTTTCAAGAGGCACACAAAGAGTAAGGTCTCTTTAACACACAAAAGCTCATAGTCATAGAAATACCAGAAAATTTAACTATTTAAAGTCTAAGTTTTTGTCTGTTGGTTGAACTGAAGATGAAATCTGAAGATGTTCTGATTCGTTATATAGTTTTGACATTCCCTAAACAATCATTATTAGTTTTTTTGAGAAAATATTTGTTGCATTGATTGATAATGCAACAACATATTATATGTATGAAGTTAGAGAACTCAGTTAAAAGGTAAACCAATCTAAAAAGCTACAAATTGACCACACAGAGGTGCAAAATGCCCACAATAAAAAACCATGAAACACACAAAATCACCACAAAATCACCACAAAAAGACACAAAATGGCCACTAAGACATGTAAAATAACCACAAAAAGACAAAAAAAACCACAAGAGTCAGAAAATTACAAAAAAAAATTGCACAATCCATAAACACAAAATGACCACAACTACATTAAATGCTTTCTAAAAATAGTGGATCTTCTGCATGTTGCAGCACTTTTAAGATTAAAGTTTTGATTTTTTGAATTAAATCTGAGAATTTATAGAATCTGTTCTGTTTTGTGAGTGCAAAAAGCAGAAAAGAAACTCAGTAAAAAAAACACAAAGAACCAAAACACGAGTCACACGAGTGCCAAACACATGTGAACCTTAAAAACATGGCTCATGACCTGCTGCAGCTGAACGCGTTGCAGCGGCTGAAGGCAGTGACGCAGCTCGTCTATCCTTCTCAGTTATGATGACACACTGTCACACACATTCTGCGTCTGCTGTTGCAGCATGTGAGTTGAATTAACTGGGCCTGATGACAGCAGAGAGAAATCCTGAAATGTGATACTGGAGGGGGTACGCTGCTGTTGTTGTAATGTATTATTACTGGGAATACAGACACACCCTGACTGAGCCTTGCACAGCCTCACTTTGTACATACAGCATGTTCAGTGCAGGTTGGGTAGTCTTAAAAGAAACTAAAGGAACTTATTTGTGCATTTCTTCTTGCGTATAAGCTGCAGAAGGCTGTCAGGTTGTTCGGGCCTGTGGTGCTGGTTGTCTCTGCAGCACCACAGTCTGGTTTCTCTGTGAATTACATCAGTCACATGTGCTGAGTGAGGACTGTTTTCTCAAGGGGAAAGCTGGTGATTTCATGGTCCTTATTCACACTTACAGTACTGTGTACGAGTAAAAATAAAGGCATGAATCATTTCTATTTATTGACTGGGGTTTACTGAAGAGGAAAGCCTTAGTCTAATTATGTCTTCCTTACTTGACTACATCACCTACTTTTAGACACAGACATGTGGTGATGAATCAGGAAGACTTTTTAATTTATTGAAGCAGCATCCATTTAACTGTAACTGTGAACACACATATTGACACATATTTCACTGCAATGTAAAGACCTGCATCTCCACTACAACAGCACAACCATGACTAAGGAGAGAGAACTTAGAAATGTCTTATGTGCAGTATGATACAGTTGGAATGCATCAATGTATTAAAAAAACAAACAAAAAAAAAAAAACTTTTTTTTGGATTATTTGTTTTCCAAAAATTTTGAAAAACTGTGAGCATTTTTTTTTTCCAAGCATCCACACGTTACCAACACTTGAAAAAAAAAAAAAAGGTGGCTGCACATACTTTGGATATTTTTCCATTTACATTTTAACAACCTCTGCAAACAAAAGGCAACAAAAGACACAGAATGACTACGAAGAGATACAAAATGACAACAAAGAGACACACAAGACCCCTTCCACTCTGGACATAAACTGCTTGAGCCCGTCCTCTCTGGCAGGATGACCCGAACCTCATGCCTCAGGAGCAGCTTCAGGAACCTACTTGGCAATAAAACTTATTTCAAAGAGACAAAATGACAACAAAGGATGCAAAGCTGCCAATAAGAGACGCTAAACTTTAAACAAAATGACCACAAAGAGACACAAAAACCTTTGCTGGGTAGTAGATGTTGAATTTTTCAACATGACGTAGCAGCCTGATTTCTACAGTGTCTTCACAGGAAATGAGGTAAAGACTCCATGTGAGTGCATGAGCCAAGCGGTGCATGTTTGTGTTTCACACTTGAAACTATGTGTTTTGGCAGCAATACGACCACTGGAGGCAGAACCAGCCCGACAGCTTCTTCCAGTCAGGAGAGGACTGTGTGGTGATGATTTGGCATGAGGGAGGACAGTGGAATGACGTGCCCTGCAACTATCACCTGACCTTCACTTGCAAGAAGGGGACAGGTACGTACACATGGAAGCATTTTACCTGAACCACTCAGCCTACAGAAACAGCTGTTTAAAATTAATATTCACATCCTTTCTTGTATCTCGGACAGAAAATTTAACCCAAAGTGTTTTGGTTTGGAGTTTAAAAGATGTTCTAATGACACCTGGAAAGGCTGAATAGTTTTCTTAAATATGGTTGAATGTGACTGTTGTTAGGTTACACCTGAACCAAGCTCAGGTGCGTCATTAAAATGTAATTTTTTTTTCTGCTAGCCCAGGAATCATGTATAGTTCTCTCATTCTGACAATGAATCAATAATAAATGAACACCTGGCATTTCCTAAACAGGCCTTGGATCACCTTTACCACAGCAACAAGAACAAGGTGGTAACTTTTGCAGTAATGCAACAAATCTTTGTCTGTATTTTAATTAGTTTTTAAAGTAAATGAACAGAATGGAATTGAAGAGACCAAACTATTGGCCACTATTTTAGTTTAGCTTTGGTTTTCACAGAAAAAACTCTAGGAAAGCAACTGAAGAACCAGATATTTTCCTCAGAAGGTGGTGGAGACCAAAAATAGAGCTAAAAGAAAATGAAGATTGGATTTACATTCATCAAATATTAATAAAAGTGAATAATCATGTTGCTACACAAGGGCTTACAGGTGTGTGTTGTGTTAACATGTTGTTTCACTGTTAACCCAGTAGCCAGACAATCAACCACAAAGCATATGTTTAGATGCTATGTTTCCTACCATCCAGTTTCATGTGGCCAGCCCCCCGTGGTGAAGGATGCTCGAGTGTTTGGGCCCATGAAGCCTCGCTATGAGATCAACTCGCTGCTCCGCTATCACTGCAAACAGGGCTTCATCCAGAGACACGCCCCGACTATACGCTGCCGCTCCAATGGCCAGTGGGATACACCCAAAGTCACCTGCACGAGCCGTGAGTGTCCACTTAAGGATATATTGTAGCTGGGCTCTGTCAGCGTATTGTTTCAGAACTGGGTCATTCAGTGGCAAAAACTCCCCTCAGAACTGACTGAATTTTCATTTTAATGTATAATAGCAGCAACACAAAACAGTACTGTGCAAACTGACAGAACAAGAACAGAACACTGTCAGAGTAGAATCTGAAAGGCTGTCAAACAAACACTGATGCTGCAAAGAAGTTTGAGCAACGTGTTTTATCCAAACTATAATATAAAACACCAATGATGTTTCTCCATTTCACAGCCAGAAACTACATTTATGAGTGTTAAAATCCAGCTTTATTAGAAAACAGTTTTGACACAGAAGGACTCATGGTGACAAGATGATCCTGGTATCAAAATGTTAGTGAAAATTAGGGAACAACTGATGTTTTTTTTTCTTGGCCAATATCACTAGTAGTTATTGGTAATCAATAGACTGATATTTGGAACCATAATAAATGAAATGATATACAATTAAACCATGTAATAGCAGGAAACCTGTCACAGTAACTACAGTAAGAGAGAGAAAGCTTCATCAGAGCCAAAGTAACACATTTATTTATTTTGTCAGGATTCAGTTCATAAAAATGCTGACACGACAATCAGAAAAATGCAGAATATCTGCCAACCAGTGAGGCACTGATTCATTTTTAATGGAATGACCCAATTTAAAGGCTGCACACTGTTTTGAAATGTTTTCGCTTTAAACTCTTTTTCCATCTGTCTTCTCAGCTGCAACCTACCACAAGTCATTTACTCTGCGGCACCGCAACAACCAGAACGAGCAACAACAGAGGCACTTTAACCACCACATCCATCACACCAAGAGTCACGAGAAACACAATCAAAACCAGGAGCAGCAGCAGGACTACAACATTCTGCAAAACCTCTGGAATCCTTTCCAGAGTCGAGTCCAGAAGGTGCTGAGGGAGAAGAGGCTACTGCAGGCCCAACCACACAACCAGGACCAGATCAGACACTGATGGGGTTTGTGGGTTCGCAAATCAGATCTGCGGTGGTGACCAGTCACAGCAGGCTGGCCGTGTCAGTCCAGAGGCATCGATAGACAGACGGAGTGTTGATCAAATGTCTATCAATTTCTCTCAGAAGGACGAGGGAGATGTTTCACCAGTACATTGTCCACAAACACTCCAGGATCTGAACCGTAACACTAGTGAGAGTTTAGTTTCATTTGTAGAGTTAGCTTATTGATTATATTGGTCTCCCTACAACGTCTCGGTGCTCAGGTTACTGATATACTTGCTTTTTAGCATTTCCAATGAATAGACAGTCATCAGTGTTCACATACTTGCATACTTTGTGTCTGGAGTGTAAAACTAGAGGGCAGATTTGCAATTATTCATGCCTGGCTGTATAAAATCTTTTCAAACTTCCACTTTAGCACAAAATTAAAAAAAAAAATCGTCATGCAGATTACAGTATTTTCACATGCACATGGAGTGCACACTTCTACACAAACTATGATCAGATTTATGAGTGTGACGATGCTTTCAACACAGGCACTCTAGACAATATTATAGTAATCACTTGACAGCAAGAAGAAGAGCTCCTTTTTATTTATTGTTGTGTTTGGCTGAACAACATGAGAAACACTTGGACTTGACTCTGTCCCTGATATATCTAAGTTTGTGATGTCAGGGCTAAATAAGCTCACTAGTGTCCGTCAGAATGTCGTGTGTCATGGTAAGCTTGTGGAAGAAAGTTTTATTTCCATTAAGACAGTTTCTCTTTGACTGAATGTTTCTTGTTGGACTTCAGACTCAACCTTGACTCAGACTCAACTCTTTATCAATTTGACTTTGACTCCTTTTGGACTTGACCTTGAGTTGCATTTGAGTCCTTTTGGACTCTGTCTCGATTTGGTCTTGACTTAGACTTGACTCATTTCAGACTCAACTCCTTTCATATTTAGCTTTGAAACATTTTGAACTTGGCCATGAGTTGGCATTCTGCCCTGGCTCTGACTTGACTCTTTTAAATTTGGCCTTGATTAAAAATGAATTTCTATCGGACTCTGCCTCGACTCTTTCTGGTTTGGACTTGATTTGGATTCAAATCTTTTTCAACTCACCAAAATTGAAACCAAGAACTGGCCTTCAGATGGACTACGCTTAATGACTTTATCTGCCAAGCCTTCTATCATTGTGAGGGTGGTGTAGAACTGCCACTGACCTTATTTTCTAATTCTGCCCCCACTGTCATATGCTGAGTGGTATCTCGCAGACACATTCATTTCTAAAGACATGTACCACCAGCTCTCCCAGGGTGGTAGTCATGCATGTGTGAACATGTACTTAAAAAGCAAGTATGTTAGCAACCTAAATGGGAAGACTTATGACTTTAAGATTTAAAACGCCACAGAACATCTGTGACACTTCAGATTCATCAGCTTTTCACTAAATACAGCCTGTCAGCCCAGTGCCTTCTGTGAAATTATTTTAAAGCAGCCCTGTGGAGGATTATGACAGCTGTGGCCACCTTCATCTGTCACGTAACCGTCACCTGATAGGTTGTAATTAAATATAGAAGATGGATGTGGCCACTAGACTGTCACCCGTTAGTTTCTGGGACACCATTTTGATGCCTTGCGTTTTGAAATTAGCCGTTGACATTTATTTTCTTTTTCCAGGAAAACTACGCACACCAATTTTGTAGCACCTTGTCAATCTTAAAGTTGCTCTTACCATACCGTGCTTTATCATCTATTTGCTTCTAAATGGGAGCAGAATTTACCAAATTAACACCTTACTCTATTGAAGGAGAATTAAAACTAGCAAATAAGACTATTGGGAATGTTTACAGAGGAAAAAAACAAAAGGAAGGGCAATTTTCTCATCTATACAATTAGACTTTCTTTTTGTACCCAGAGGAATCACCCCCTGCTGGCTGTTTAAAAGATTATACATTTAAGGAACTTCAGACGCTATGTCCATCTTTTATAGACAGTCTGTGGTTGCAATGGTTTTCCTAGAGTTCTCTATTGGCTAGTTACATTTCTTTATTCGTTATTTAGACCACTCAGTCAGTGAATGGCATGAAACTAATAGCAGTCCAACAAAATTGCTCCACAGCCCAACTAGTGGTCTAAAACTCCACAGGGTACCTTTAATTTCCAAAAATGTGGCACATGCAAACAAAGGTTGAAATATTTGTGGTTTATTTTTATACAAGCTAGCCCAAATACTGTTATTGATAGAATATAAAAAGAAAGAAAACATACGTTTAAATTATTATCATAGAAGACTTTCAGTTTTGGTTTGTATCACTCATATTAGTACAGCCTTGTTTTTACTGGTTGATTTCCCATGTAGATTTTTGTACAAAATGTTTTAGCTTAAAAAAGTTTTTTTAAAAAACAGAGACTAAATGCACACAGAGGGGACGGTAGATTATTATGAATGTGTGGTGCGTGTGTGCTGGGGCTATTAATCATAGGATATATAATATAGATACTATATGAAGCCATATGAATTTAACTTATTGTATACTTTAAAACTATGAATAGACTGTGATATTAAATAAAGGTCATTGGAACTGAATGATTCTGTTAATGATGACTTCCTTGCTGTTTACAGATTCTTGCTATGTTGCTTCTTTCACCGACATTACGCGTTCAACGTCACATAGAGTTTTTCGTTAGCAAAGTCAGCTTGTCGCGCTGTTGATGCTTTTTATTGTGCGTAAAATCAAGCCAGAGATGTCGCCATTAAAATGCTCCTGATTATTTCTGCATTATTAAGTTGGAAGTGTTCTCAGCTACATTTGTGTTGCTTTTTGCTACAGATCTGGAATCTGTTTTTCATCCACGGATTAAGGGAATGTGACAGAAACACATAGAGACACTTTCTACATGCTCCACAAGACTTTTTCTTTTCTTTTTTAAGGCATTTTGCCTTCTTTTCTTCATGTTTTTCATACATTTTCTTTTTTATATATATATCGTTTGTCGATGTATCCAGTGTGCTTTTTTTTTCTACACCGTGTGGCTCATAGGGTTTACTGTATCTGTGGCACAAGATCTTATTTTTATGTAATCACTGTTGTTACTGTCAATATGTTCATCAGCCTGTTTTCAGTGTTGTTGTCAGCTGTGTGTGCAATAATAGGAGGTGTTAAAACACAACCTGTCCTGCGGTTTTATTTTACTTTATTTACAGAAGTCTGGTGTTCTTTGTTTCTCTTACTGTCAAAAAGACCCACAATTTCCTTCTAGAGCAAACGTCTATGTGTAATGTAAAAGGTTTCGCTCACATTGACAAACCTGAGATCTACAGAGAGTTTTAGCATCTTTTAGCTCACCAGCGAAAATTATGAATAACTCAAACCGTGAAGCTTGTTACACAGTCATGTGTGTGTTTACTGCTGCTCTTCTGAATATAAACACGGAGTCATTTCTGCACATCAACAAGAAAACTGTATCAAACTCGAGTTAGTGTGTTACTTTGTTAACCCCTTGGACTCCAAGCAGTTTTATTTTGCTCCTTTGACATTTTTCCTTACCATTGGCTTTAAAAACTCAGTTATAAAGCCACAAATCACAGTAGAAAGGAAGAAAAGAGTAAAATTTCTTTGACTTTTCATTCTACAAATTTTTAAAAGAAAGAAAAAAAAGTCCAGTATTTTTCCAAGTGTCCACAGGTATTTCCAGTACTGACAAATCAGACTGTACCTACTATGTGTATTTACAGGAACAATTTACATTTTTAGGCCTCTACAAACTTTTTCACACAGCTCTGCACATCAGCTCTAGAAACATGTTTCACCTTACTGAATGTATCTCGTGATGTGCTGACAACCTGCTCCTTTGTATATTACTTTTTTTTTTTTTTTTTTTTTTTAGCCATGCTACATTTTTTATTATTGAAATATGTTGCATTTTCCTCTCAGACTCTTTTATCATCTCCTTTTTTCTTTGTGTAAACACATCCTGCAGCTCATCTCAAAACTATCTGAATTTTTATCCAGTGAGTGGGCGTCTCAGTTGCAATGAGGAGCAGAGGAGTTTTCGTTTTTAAATGAATTTGGCTGGAGCAAGCAGTTTATTTCAAAATAATTTTTGAATGGGACAGGTACAATAAAGTGATGAAAAATTAGGATTTGATTCATTTTCCCAATGGAAAGGCACATCAGTGTGACCATCAGTGACGATCTGAAAGAACGATTCTGGGTTTATGCATGAAGCACAATCTATACCAATGGACACACATTATCAACCCCTGACATTTTCTTTATAAATTAAATAAAATTGAATTAGGTAAATTTAAAATAAATAAAATGTTTCCCAGCTTCCTGAAATTGACAGGGTAGGTTCAAGTGTCCAAAGGTATTACCAGTATTTTAAAAAAGAGGGGTGGGGGATTCACATGCTATAGACATTTAACTTTTATACAGCCTCTATGAACTTTTTCACACTACTCTGTACATCAACTCTACAAAGATATTTCACCATGTATTTTACAGCAGCTTACTGACAACTTCCCCCTCTGTATACAGTTTTTGAGCCCTGTTACATCTATTTATAGATCCAGTATGTTTTATTTTCCTCTCAGTCTCTTATTTGGTGAGCTTTTGGGGTTTAAAGGCTTATGGGGTATTTGGTAAATATAAAGTTTAATTTAAAATAATAATAATAATAATAATTAATTCCCTAAAAAAGTAGATCACTGTTTGTTTGTTTTTTGTCAGGCCCACAGGGTAAATCAACGCATTTGTTGGGGGAATGACCCACATTTGGTGAATATTTGTACAAGCAGGGCGGTGTATGTAGAATCTCTGGATCCAGAAGCTCATTAGCATTTTGTAAATCTCAAGTTGCAATAAAGCTATATTATTTATGTTACCTAATCCATTGCAGAGCTAAATAATGTCTTTTAATTTCCTTTAATTCAGACATCATCCAGCTTTTCAATGAGGTCCGCTATAAACTTATCACATGGCATCTCCTGATTGCTCCACAAGAGCTTGAGTTTCAGTTAAACGATGCTGTATCCTGAAAAGTTGCTTTAAGCTTGCGTGTCAGGTTTCACCCATGTATTAGTGTAGAAAGTATTATATAAGCTTGACTGCAGACACGCTGGCTAAATATACTGACAGCTGTGTTATCCTACCTGCTCATGCTCAAACAGCCTTCTAGAAACCAGCACGAGAATCGACATAAAAAAGCAACACGTCACCAACATGCCGTCACAAAGTTCCTACAACAGTCCTTTACTTTGGCAACCGACTGTATTTCAGTTACAGAATCAACTGAAAGCAGCACCATGAATGGCCTCGCTGTTTCTGCTGGCAAAACATTTTGGCGTAAGCGGCACCCCTCCCTTTGGAAACACGTCGGGCACATTACTGCATTACCTCTGCAAACAGCCATCTGAAAGCCAATTATAGCTGACGTGAACTTCTGCTGACTTTTATTTTCTTTTGCAGCTGCGGTGTGATTGCTCATAAGTCGTCGTGATGCATTTCCGATAATAGGCCAACTCAATGACGCCGGTGTAAAAAGACAGAGGCAGAGACGTGGTTTATGTACTGTTTTATTATCCTTTTTTATCTTTGGGTCCCTAAGGTTTCCTTGTACGCTGCAGTAATTAACAAGGTTTCAGATTTACAACATCAGACAGACAATACACAAAATAAAAGCCAACAGTTCTGGGTTATCTTTAAAGCTTTAAAGAAATAATTTTTGAAAATACACTTTTCTTGCCAAGAGTGAGATGGGAAGATTGATACCATTTTCATAAATGTTCACAAAATATAGAGGACAGGACAGCCAGGAGATCAAATGGCTTCACTTAGCATAAATAAAGGCCAAAAGAGGGAAAGAGTTTAGCATCTGGCTACACTGAATCTGAAGTTCTCGACAAAGACAGGACATTTAGCTTCACTTAGTACTGAATAAAGACTATAAGCAACCGGTGGACTGTGGTAAATACGACAGAACCAAGCTAGCTGCTCCCCAGTGTTTCCAATCTTTTTTCCAAAGCTAAGCTAACAAGCTTGTGGCTGTTGCCTTAAATTTAATGAACAGAAATGAGATTGGTATGAGTACTTGAACTCCCCACAATGTCAAAATGTTTCTTCAACAAAGTGAAAGTGTTTGCAGATTGTTCACAATAACTGAAACCAATCCAATAATACAAAAAGGACAAATGTAATGTTGCAGCACTGCAGTGGACTTTGCAATAGGATTCTTTTTTTTTTTTTACCTCCCGCATTGTTGATGGCAGATCATTACAGGAGGATATTTTTATGAGTCTGTCCAGCAGTTCCTCGGTGATAAGTAAAGCAGGACTCTAACCAGGCCCAGGTTGATGACCTAAACCCAAGTCCGGGCCAGCTGGGACCATGTACAGTGACCTAACACTTGATCAATGAGCACCATTTACCACGATACCCGTACATGGAAGAAGCCCTTAGTGCCTCCATGCAGGAATTACTGGTATTTTGATTATGTATTGTATTTCTGTCTCGTTCAGCAGGCTGGTGCAGGCTGGCTGCAGGCCCGCTGGGTCTGATCGGTGAGCTCAGCCAGTTCACGGCTGAGTCTAGCAGAGCTTAGATAGCATCAGGGAACTAGTCGCTGCCAGGAAAACCATGCTCGCTCAGGGCCTGGCGTGGTCCCATCAGTGACTTCAACTCTCTGTACGTAACTCCAGGATTTGGGCACAAATCGTTCCCTTCATTAACCTCAACACCTTGTTTTCTACCTGCTATTCTGGAGTAGGTTGCATCTTTTTCATACTATTTGCCCAAAACGATCAAAGGCACTGCTAATACAGTTCAGGTACTAATCTGGTGATAAAAACATGTTTTGGTTTCAGTCACAATCAATTTAGCCATAGTAATTTTAAACTAGTATTACATACTTTTCCTGCAGACTATGAAAAAAAGGCACCTAGCATCAAATTATTAATTCATGAGCCAATCTTTCCGTGAATAAAAACGAAATCACAGAGCCCCACTGTTTGTCCAGGTAATTACGCTGCCTTTGCAGATGAAAAAAATAACTGTCCCACTTCATACTAGCAGAAGTCCTTAGTATTGGTAGGCAGTTCTAAGGAGACACTCTGATGTCAAATATAAACATCAGTATTTAACCCTATTCAGGACTTTCATGTTTCCATACGTAGAAGGTCTTTTGGGGTCCATTGGACCCCAAGAAAGAATATGTGCAAAATATTTGTTGGTATTCATTATAGACTTTTATACTATGTTAAATACATTATCTAATAAGTTGATGTATTTTTGGTTCCAAATGCATGACAAATCCCTCTTTTTATATTAAAAAAAAAACAATATCTGTCACCTAAACCAAATGGCCTGGGGTTCAAAGATCCCAAAACTCCTGAACAGGGTAAATACATGGATAACCGGAATACTTCTCCCTTTTTTTTGTTCTAAATGAACAACAATTAAAGTAAAAAAAATCACCTGCAGATATAGTTTTATTGTTTTAGAGTGTTCAGTCCTGTATTTGGCTCCTTTTTATTAATGATAGATAGCATCAGATAGATGTGACAAACAGAACAATAATCACAGCTAATGATAAGGTAGTTAATACATCATGTTTAATGTAATGTAAATTTTTTAAATTTACTTTTACATTTTCTTTCATGTAAATACAGTAGTGACATCACAATGTTACTGATATGCATATGTGTCGTTTTAATCCCATCTTGTAGTATCGGCTGTATCTGTTCACTAGTACACAGGTTGTTGTTTAGGTCTAGCTTGAGATAAGCAGCTGAAATATTCAGTCATGGCAGCACAGCGTTAACAATTTAGTAAACACGTGGAAGAAGATTTTGATATCAACATCAACATAGATGAAGTTTACTTTCACAAATTCCCCTCATTTTAGGTTACCTTACATGATTGCAAATTATTTGTGGTTGACAAATAGTTTGTTTTTGCATGGATGATAAGGTATTATATGGTAACCTTTCTTGTAAAGTCACATGGACATGTTGATATTTTTAATGGGCTTGTCTTCTATTTTGATGCTTCTGCATTTCCTACATTTTGTTACTGGTTCATGAGCTTACTAAGTCTTGGGGGCTAGACATTGACAGTACCACCCATGTTGCCGTTGCTCAGCAGTCATGTTTTCATGGCTTACAGCTGATGCTACGACGTAAGCACCAAGCATTTTGTGTACACAACTTCCCATGTCGTAGTCACAACCTCATGATTTTAAGGAAACCTAAAACTGTTTGCTAAACGCGCATTTAAATCCAAAATTTGTGCTGTCGGCTAGCGCCCAGGCCTGCCACAGCTAGCACCACTGGCGGAGAGGAATGGCGTAAGAAAATAGTTTGAATTTCTGTTGGCTACAGCAAACATTTTGTAATTATGGGTGGAGGCAGACCAACATCTATGGGATCACGAAAACAGCTTTGAAGATACAACCCTGAATAACAGGTAAAAGACTCATAGCTGAGTGATGTGAGGTTAATCATTGGAGTTACGTACAGAGGGATGAGGTCACAAGCCGGCCTGGGCCTGGCTCTGCTCATACACTTTAAGAAACTACAGTGTTTGTATCAAAAATAGCAGTTTATCAAGGCGCTAGATAGACAGCGGGAGTAGATCTACTCTGGGAGCTGTTTTGCTGTGTGCTTGTCGAAGTCATGCTCTGAAGTTCAAGCCAAACAGAGATACAGCCACAAAATTCTACTTCACTGCTGTTACAGAAAAAATACTCTAGCATAGCACTGCATTTATTCATGCCAGGCATTTTGTATTGCTGCAAGGGGCGAACTACTGTTTGCCTTGTCTTCTCTCCTCTAGGCGTTATCTTCTATAGGTTCAGTGCAATTTTTTTGTTTGTTTTTAAAGATTGTGGAGTTTTTTGTTTCCACTGTCATTGTATGTTTCATGTAAACCAATGAGACTTGGATAGTTTGGCCAGAAAGACAGAAATAATAATGAAAATATTTCTACAGTATATCAAAAAATAGTCATTAACAGAATTACATTTCTAGATTATCACATTCTACGTATTTAGAAAACATAAACAAGCTAACAGTTGGATGTTCCTATTTCTTATTCATGTTGGTGATGACACTGATGTTTGGTCCAACACATTTGTATAAAAACATAAAATACTGGACGGTCGGATGAAGTACAAAGTACCGGTCATAGCACCTTGTTAAGAATGGACAGCAAAGATCGCTTTAGTTGTGCTCTGCTTGTAATCCTAACTCTCTTTTTGTCTTGTTTGCAGGTGTCTTTCATGGTGTTGTTGTTCCAGGTCTTGAACAAAAACAAGTTAAGTGCCCAAAGTGTCAGTCCAACATGAGATGTTTTGCTGTTAAACTGTTCTCAGTTCAGACATGCGTTGTCCATTCTTGAGTGACAGTATGGCTGTAGCTGTGATATCCTCCAACCCCCACCCCTCACACAATAACCCTCCCACCCCTCTCAAAGGCATTGATTAAATAATGTGAACCTTAAATATGTGTAAACTATCCCTCATAGAGTGTCAGGTCCCAGATCACAAAGCAACAACATGAATCTGTCTGACTTTAATGTCTTAAGGTTTCCATGAAATAAAGCATCACAGTTTGAAAGTGTGTGTTCATACCTCCAGATCCCCTCCTCTGAGTGTTTGTGCATGCTTGTGTATGTATGTATGTGTTGATTGTGTGTTTGTAGCTCAGTTGTGGCCCTTGAAGCAGTACACTCCGTACAGCTTGTGCTTCTTGTCGGGGAAGCCACTGAACCTGACGGCAGCTTCCGTGGGACTGCAGCGTCGTCGAGGGTGGGAGATGGGATAGCGGACGCTACCGTCTGCCAACCAGCCAGCGTCGCAACGATCGTAGCCCAGCAGCTTCCAGGCGGCGTACATCTGGCCGACTTTGGCAATCTGAGCGCCGTCCTTTTGGCATGCCCTGACCGCCTCGTCATAGGTCAACTTAGAGGGGTGGATCAAGTAGTAGAACCGGCCTGTGGAGACAAAAGACAGGCAGATGAGCACAAAGATGTAAAGTATCCAAACATCCACGGGTCCATTTTCTGTTACTTAGTTGGAGTCTGGTTGTGATATCAGCAAGCTAAGCAAGTTTGTCCAGATGTCCCTGCCTCAAGGTGTTCCCAGTGTAGATGAGATATACAACCTCCCCAGTTTGTACTGGATCCACTCCTGGTTCTCCTATCAGTTGGACATGCCCGGGGAACAACCAACGGAAAGTTCCCAGAAGGATTCTAATCTGATGCCTCAACTAGGGGCAGTGACTCTACTCTGAACTACCTGTGGATGTCTGAATTTCTCACTGAATTTCTCACCCTCTGCAGGTGAGGCCAGGCACCCTATGAGGGAATCTCAGCAATTTGTATTTGAATCATACAGGGTATATATAAAGATGGGCGACGTGACAGCTCCACAGAATTGAAGCTGTGTGTTTTCCACTGAACTTGCTGGCCATTGTAGTGTGTGTTTTTGAGGAAATAAATAGAAAATAGTCCAGGGTTGGTACTTCTGAGTGACCCTGAAAAACTGCGGCATGAATCTTGATGCTCAGAGAAGACAAGCAGTTCTATTTTTTTCTGCCCTCTCCATACCCTTATCAAATTGCAGTCTTTATCTCAGCGTAAAACTCACCATATAGGTTACCACAACAAACCTTCGATGTTTTACTTCCTACACGGTCATCATTCCTACACACGCTATAAGTCGTTTTGGCATGGGAAGTCAGGTGTGAAGTCCCACAGCACAAACGCTAATGTCATGGATCCGACACTACAATAGAAACAGAGAGACTGAAAGGGATGATTAGGGCCATTCCAGTAAATATTCACACCACCTCATGCCTGCCCCAGAGTTCCTGCCATTGAAAGCAACCACTTGATACCGTATTACCATATCCCAGAAGCAAATAACAGCACCTGTGCAAGGTGTCGGTGCCCATTTGTCATATTTAGATTTTTCTGTAGTGGGAGGAAAAGTCAAGCCACCTCCTGGGGCCAGACCTGGGAGGGGAGCTTGTTGATGAGAGTCAAGTACCTGGGTCGAGCATAGCCTGAAATAGCAATGAACCAGTTCTGAACTCCGAGCTCAAAGGCATTCATGACTTCAAATATAAACAATCAGCATTGCAGATCAGCTCTCGATTGGATACATCAATCAAGCAGGGGAGGATGGATGGGTATTGAGGTAACAGAGGCTAAGAAGCCTAAAATAGCCTACAAAGTACCATTATTTTTTTTTTTACATGTTTCAGATAGCCTACACCATTTACTAATATCTCCTGATTAATGTTCACTTTAGGGTTCCACGGCTCAAACTTGGGCAGATGCTAGATGACACCAACGTTTACAGGAATGGCCCCTAATCGCCCTTTCAGCCTTCCTGTTTCTATTGCAGCTTGAACTGCGAGATTAAATCCGAATGCATCAAAACTAGACATGATGGGAATGTTGAAGAGAAAAGACTGTTACTGAACACAGTCATTGAGTGGGCAGAAAAAAATATCCTTTTGTTTGTCTCTGAGTTCAACCAATAATTATTGAGAGGCTGCTCACAAGTAGCCTGGAGTTTGAGGTGTCTTCGTGCCTCAAAACAGTCCTGAAAAAGGTTCTACAAGGACAGTTCTCACAGTTGGAACACAGACAAGATTCGAACCACCGTAAAACAGTCCGCAAATTCTGCAGTTAGTGCTTCAACTTTGGCACTGGAAAAACATCAAATCCACAAGGTAACCAGCCACTAAATTGTCTCCTCATGCCAGCTAAATAAAGTATAATCATGAATTTTACCTTTGTAGTGGGAGGTGAAGCAGAACACATCGTAGTGGTTCTTGTCCTTGTCTCTCAGCCCGTAGTTTCGAATGCCCGGTACCGTGTTCTTGCCCCCACAGGGTTCTCTGGGGGTGGTGATGGGATATTGCACTGAGCCGTCACTCAGCCAGCCAGCGTTGCACCAGTCCATCCCACCTCGCCACGCGTCGTACAACTGGTCGAAGGACGCCACGATAGCATCCTGGTCACGGCATGCACGCTCAGCATCGTAGAAGTTGAGGTTGTAGCGACCGAGGCGGGGGAAGTAAGGGAAGATAACACCTGCATGGAGTAGATAGAAATCACTGTTAGCAGACCAAAGCAGCATCCATTCTCTGAGTTTTGTATTCAGTCGTGTTATTTAACTTAATGACTGAGGTAGTGTCTTGCTGTGTAAGCACAGCTGTTTCTTTGTCAGCCTGCTGCCAGCGTTTTTGGCATCAGGCTGTAATGGTTGGTGTCTCTGGCTATGCTCAAACATAATGAAGCTGCTCTGACACTGATGTACACAATGCTTACACTGGCTCCTGACATTCCCCCAAGCAGTCTCTGCTCCTGGAGCTAAATTTAGACCAACTGCAGCCTTTTACTGTACAAACACATTTTATACGTGTTTTATTTTTACACCACATCCTCATTCTTTCCCATTTGGGTTTGAAAAGCATGCTGTCATTAAAAGCTTGCCAAAGTTACATTATGTGCAACAGCCAGAGACTGCAAATACAGAAAAAAAATTCAGATTTAAAACTTTGAAAAGGTCCAAGAACTACCTATCTGAAGTGCCATTCCATCCGAAACTTAACCAAATCTAACTTTCAAAATGTGTTACTTCATCAAACTCCCTTTATTCAACATGCCTTATTTACAAATTTGTCAAAAATAAACTGTTGGCTCTCATCACATTCTATTTTAAAACACACAAACACAAAATTCTGACGCAACCGTAAAGCCATTAGTAAATCAATGAGAGTGTTCAGGTGAACTGCAAGCAGTGTTTACACAGAGCAGAGAGGAGACAACAAGAGAGACTGAGAGGAAAATAAAACACAAAGTTGTTGGAAGATACATTCAGCATGGTAAAATATATTTGTAGAAATGATGTCAAAAGTAGTTTGAAACGTTTGTAGAGATTGTCAAAATGTTAAAAAGTAAATATCTTTGATTAGTATTAGCAGCACATGTGGGCATTAGGAAAAATGTTGGACCTATTATTTTCCATTTGTTTAAACCTTGATAAAAAGAAAAAATATAAAAAAGGGTAATTAAAAATGATTTTATAGCATTCTGTTATTCTACACAAAAGACATTTTTGAGTAATCTCTACTTCCAGACATGGTTGTGCTGTTTCCATTGTGATGCAGGATTTTATGTTGCAGCAAAAAATGAGCCCACAGTGAGTATAAATGTGGCAGGAGCAGAATATGTCCAGAAACTGCCATTGGTTCAGATGGTTAAAGGGTTAGTTCACCCTAATATTTTTACCTTCAAGGTCAAGGGCCACCACTGTCGTTCCATCCTCCAGCCCATCGATTACTTCACATTTATATCTCCCATAATCCTCCAAGGTGATTTCCGTGATGACCAGTGAAGCGTCCATGGGAGAGGAGCCTTGTAGGTGGACACGTCCATGGAAACTGCCATAACTCCTTTTGTGATAATCCATGGCAACAAACACATCCACCTGGAGCAAGATGAGGAAAGGAACTTTTCACACTACTTATATTCATTTAAAGGTTGTAGAAATAGGTCATGCTTATGGAGGGTCATTTTTTCACTGACTTCTATACAATTGGACTTCTTTTTGCAGCCAGAGGAGTCGCCAGCACATGACATTCAGCTACTCTGAGCTAATTCAGTATCACATAAAAAGCAGCAATAGTGCTATCAAGGCCTAAATATGAACCACAAACAGCAGGGTTTTAACCAACTGAAGGACTTTGTAAACTCACAAGCTTCAGGATTTTTCTGTTATGTCAGTAGAAAAATTACCAGCAGCTATACTAGGAATTGATTAATATTTTAAGTCATTCATCAAGAAAAAAAACATGCCAGTCATCGTCTTTGTGACATTTTAAAGACAAAGCTATTGGTAAAAAGTAACTACAGAATAATTAGCAGTGTCTGCAATCCTTATTTGCAGTGGTATATTCCTCTGTTGGTCCCTGAAACATATCACTGAGCTAAATGCATTTGTTTCTTAAAAACTCCAAAATTTGCATTGTTTACAATGGAGCTGCTATGGTTGACTGATTGGCTGCCAAATATGAAATCATTTTGCAATTATCTTCATTATCGGTTTATCTTTTAGAGGATTTGTTTAATTTCTTTGATTGCAGCATTGGGAATGTGAGTATTTTCTGGAACTTTCCTTCTCTGTGAAATTAAACTGAATATCTTTGGGTTGTGGACAAATCAAGACATTTGTCATTTTGCATTTTGTGAAACACTGATCAACATTTTTCACAATGTTCTGGCATTTTATGGACCAAACAGCTGATCTATTAATTGAGAAAGTAATCAAGGGATACAGTACTTGTTTTTACTAGTGTGCTGCAGTGTTTCTGATTACTGATTGAGCACGGGTCACTATGGAAACCTTTACTGTTTAACAGGTCAATCAAGTTCATATTTAATTCAGAAGAAAAGCAGTGGAGCGTTGCTCAACTTTAATGTAGTACTAATCTTTAGGAATGCTACTCATGCATTAATGAAGAACAACTAAAGAGATAAAATGAACAAAATAAATGTGACCTCTTTCAGGTAGTCCGAGGTCAGCTTGGTCCATTTGATCCTCATCTTCCGATTGGGTGCCATTGATTGGTCCCTTTGGATCCTGCATGGTAATGTGGCGTTCCCCCCTCGCCTTGACACCACCTTGGATTGTTCTGCCACCACCGAGAGTCGAGGGCCATTTTCTGCAACACAGTGACTTATTATACCAAAGAAACTTGACCTGCATCCACATTCTCATAAACAAAGGAAATGCGTGGTTCAAGAGGGACATAGTCAGTGTAGCCTAGCATAGGCTAGCAAATCTAGTGAAACTGGACCTGTGCACAGATACTACACTCATGGCTGTGTGAGGATAGGATCTGAGTGAAATGCTAACTTCAAATTGCAAATATGCTGATGTTTAGCAGCTGTAATACTGGGGCTGTGCTGTCCAGGTGGTTGGTTGACTGACTGGTCGATATGCCCTCATCTGACCAAATCCTCATTGGTCAGACAACCACGTGTCACTTTCAAAAGGAGAAAAGCGCTACATCACCAGCTCTCCAGGATAAATCCATTACATTTAGCAGGGGGAGCTCAGACTTCCTGTGTTTTTTGGGTCTTTGAAATGGCCCAACCTAATGGAGACTGTTAAGTCTAACTTATTGAACGCTTACTCAGCTTCAAATTGATTGATGTCAAAGAAGTCATCAGTGTGGCTGCGTTTTGTTCTAACGGATAGCAGAAAAGTCAATCCTGATGTTAACCACGTTTCCCTCAGTCAGTAGGATACATCCTCAGACCATGAATGTCATTGATGATAAACTACCTGCAGTAGCCACCTAAAAATAAATAAATAAAAAAAAAAACGCACGAATGAAGCAAAAAAAAAAAAACATAAAAATGCGCAGAAACTGTTTCGAGTTCAAAGAGTGAACAGCCACATCTTGTGTTTTTGGTTTATTCCATTTGTGATAAGAATGCAAAAACTTTTAAAAACTACAGAGCAGATTTTTCTCACAATGTTGACATCTTTGCATACACAAAGATTTCATCTGTAGGCACTGATGCAGGTCTAATGAGATAACTCTTATCTGTGCGAGCTAACAATCCCCCACATAGCAGCCTTATCATTGAGCCATAGTGCTGCTGATAAACTGAGGAAACCAATGACACTGCAGAGTAAGTGTTGTGAACGAAACACAGGAAAGGACGCTGGACGCTCTGCAAAACTCTGTATGACATTGTCCCAAAGAAACATGCAGACTAACCTGTAACATAGATGGTTCTGGAGTGCTCCAGCTCAGGATACAGAACGTCCAAGTCGGTTTCTGCTACACTCAGTGAGACCAACGCACAGATCAGGACAGGAATCATCTTCACTCACCGGACGGGGGTCTGATCACTGTAGAGACACAAACAGAGGGTGGGGTTACGGGACAGTCGCATTAAGTTTTTCTGAAGCTACATCACATAGATGCAGGATTTAGATAAAGCTCAAGCATATTCTGCATGCAGCTGTTTCTATCTGCAGTGCTGTTTTTCCCCTCGACTGCTCCGTAATTACAATTCGAGTGCAGGACACATCTACAGGCACAAAGTGAAAATCTCCACATCTCACTGCAAAGTTGCCAAGAAACACCGTCCTTGAGGCACAAAGCGGACATCCCACGAGCAGCTACAACACACGCTCTGAACGCTGTACATACTGTGCAGGGAATGCTCTGTCATCCAGCAGTGTGAGGAGGCAGCATGTCCTGGTGACACCGTCCACAACTTCAGAGGCAGACTGCCACAGTGCAGCATCACCCCCACACCACCAGCTTAATCCACACTCACATGGTCCTATCTCTGTGAGGACATTCAGTGACTTTACTCAGCCTTGTAGCCTTACTTGTATTTGAACCTGATTCTAACTGAACCCTAGAATTGCAGTCTGCTGCAGGTCTGTCCCAAAGCAAATGTCCTCACTTTACAAGAGTGTCCTCAAGCTGTAAACCTCAAACTGGTCCTCACAGAGATAGTCATGTACTCACAAACACAAACACACTGCAGCTCATCCTCTACACACTCACCCCCATACATATCTATGCTCACCTCAAACAGAAGGATTCACTATCTCACCACTTTAGGAATGTTTTATGGAAGCCCAGTGCTGCCAATATTATTTTTTCAAATTCCTTTAATGCTTTAAAGAAGACAACTTTTTTTCATCCCCAAAGAAAACCCCACAACTTTCTGGTGGCATTTGTAATCACTGAATGGCATCAACATTTCGTTTTTGTTTTTTCTTTAAATGAATGAAGGCTTTAGTAGAAAATGATTAAACAAAAAGAACTCATCAGCGGGGAGATTGTTGAGAACAAAAGTTTTGTTCATCAGAGACGTCTGGTCAAAAATTATTACAGCTTCACCTTCAGGCTGCTCTGACATGGTGGTATAATGTCTGCCATATGCAGTTACTGTTGCAGTGCCATAGTATACTTGAAAATGAAGCTTTAATTGAGTTAAAGTGCTAGTCAGAATTCCAGTTTGAGATATATACATCATTTTGACCAGTTCAGATTTAATTTAAAAATCTAAAAGATGAATGCAGACATCTTGAATTGAGGGTAATTCAACAATATTTGAAACTAGAATTACGAAAAGTCAGAATTAGACTGTAGATTTTGGAAAATTGCGATGAAAATGGTTTTAATTGAGCTGCAAACTGAACATATCTACAGCTGAAATGTAGATATCTGTAGTGAGGAACACACAAATGGTAAAAATGGCAATGTTTAAATGGTATAATTCATGTATTTTAGCATAATTTAACAAAAATGAAACGCTGGGATGACCATTATGACTGTAATCTGTTTATAAAAGATGGACGTAGCCTTGGAAGCCAGCAGGGGGCGACTCCTCTTTTTGCAAAAAGAAATCAAACTGTACCAATGGGAAAATGATCCAACACCTCTCTTTGAATTGTGACTTTAGCAAATATTCCCCTAATGAATTTATAGTCTCAGTTGCTAGTTTCAAGTCTCCTTCAATACACCATGGTGTTCATTTTGTAAATTAGGGTCCCATTGATTTTAGATGGCTTAGGTTCTTTTAAAATCCTCCGATAGATGGTTGAAGCTATATTGAGGGATTTTCTTTTCTTTTATCGTTTTAACTAGTTACAACAGTTACTGATTCCCCAAAAACATGAAGCACCTGTGCAGATAGTAATTAGCTTAAATGGTTAATACAACAATTTTTCTCCATATTTATTTCTGCTTTTTTTTTTTTTTTAAGTCCATGAATGTATCGATAAAGTTACAAAGATGCTTGCATGTCTGATGCAAAATAAAGCCCGTAACTAAATGACCATAAACAATTTTGGACATAAAGTTAAAAAATAAATACATTAAAAATTAAAAATACATTTCACTTTCTTTCACAAATATTTCCTTTTCATTTGAATTTAAATACAAGTTTGATGTGGTAAATCTATTTCTAAACTTACATACAATTAGTGTCACTTAACAGACCTAACCTAACATCTTTTTCTGTAATTTTACAAAACTTGTTAAATGAGAGATATCTTGTATAATTACAGTTTGTACCACAAATATAATAATAAATTGATTTTTTTTCTTTTAAAAAAACTATATAATTTTAAAAATACAGTGTTTATCATTATATAAATTATATAACATTTATCATTCTGTCATATTATACACTAATTTATTATTACAGGGAGTGTCATTGTTTTGCGTATACAAATATCCTTTAAACATCAGAAAGCAAAAAACTG